GGGGCCCCTGCATCTAGCACCCATTTTATACATAGTGCTGCTGTACCACATCTGGATAACTTGACAACAGTTTTAATCACTAATATAACACCAATCACATTGGTGTATGTGTGAGAAGCAGAAGCCAGATGTTGTCCAAACACCCTGTTCTTGCTCCCCACTTTGCCTAACAAGTTTTCTGTACTATTGAGAATGATGATAATCTGAAAGATGTAGAAATGGAGGAGCCCCATGAGTGCAGGAGAGGGAATTTCAGTTCTCTTCCAATGCTCTTTAATCCCTGGATTGGCATACACATCTAACATTTTAAAAAGTAGCTGCAGTGATATAATTGGGATGAATTCCACGTTTACATTTCTGTACAACCAGAATCATAGGCAACTAAGGGTAAACTGAAGAATTCACATATATGTAATTTTTTCCAAACCAAAAAGATTTTCAGATTGTACACACAACCATGGTAGACATTTTTAAAAAAACAAAAGCACCATGTCTAGAGGATCTAGACATTATTTGTTACAGCACCACTACAATATCAAGTATGTTATCAGTAAAACTTCAAGCTCTGGTTAGACCTGTGGAATTTATGTACACGGTGGAGATTCACAAGTGTAACCAAAAAGCTTACCCTTATGGCCTGCAACCATTGCTCATACAAAACATGATAATTCAGAGCCCACTGATTTGAGCTGACAGGGCCATACCAAAAGAATTCCCCATCTCTAAAATGTAAACTGCTGATCCTTGATAAGCATGATCCTTATCAAGGCTGATATTTTGATTGTGGTTGGCTTAGTCAATTGAACTAAAATTAAAGGGGGGAATAGAGAAAACGAGTTGGATGCTATAGTGTTCCAGATCTGGAGTGTCTACCACACCTAATGTTTAATTTACGATGCATTGTCATGAAAAGGTAAATCATTTCTAAGGTTCAATTCACACAATCTATGTATGGGTTGTAACCTGTTTTTACATAGGTCTACTATTCAAGTAGGTGCAGTGGCGTAGCGTGGGTTGTCAGCACCCGGGGCAAGGCAAGTAATTTGCGCCCCCTAACTGAGAGAGTGAGTGAGCCAGGTAGGGGCAGAGAGCTGCGAGTGCGAGCGCCCCCCCAGATGTTGCGCCCGGTGCGGCCGGCCCCCCCTGCACCCCCCACGCTACGCCACTGAGTAGGTGTGATCAGTCCCATCTGCATTCCTTCATCAGTACTGCACCATCAGTTGTTCTGAGAACATTCAGTGCCCTGTGGCACCCATCTATTTGATCTGTTAGTAACCCCTTTGTCTGGGCATTCCCAACAGTTAATGAAATCCCTGGCATCTAGTCACCAGAAATTAGATGCTGCTGCCTAGGAATCTGAATGTCCTTCTTCCTGGACTAAAAATCTGGTCACCTAGAAATCTGAAACTAGTTGCTAGAAATGTGAAGGTTTTTTTCCAGCTTTGCTTCTTGTCAGAGCTACTAGAAGAGCAGTGTGGGCCATTACTATCTAAGAGATTTCAGATATTTGCCAAGATTGCTTCAAGATTGCTTTGTAGGTTTATGCCTATTCAAGGCTCTTAAGCAAACCAATCAGTTCAGCAACCATGCTTCAAGGATAAAATCAGTAAGCTCTGGCATAAGCTTTACAAATGGGAAGTTGCCCTGTAGGACCAAGCGTCCACAGTTCCTGTGTGTGGCTGAAATTGTACCTGCATCTGTAATGTTTGGGAACGTACGTGGCCTTAAGAGAGCATATGAAGCAGACTTTATTTGTCACACGGCAATCGTGCTAGATGAATAAGAAAGTGAAAAGGGGGGGGGAGTGTACAGACCTAATGTGTAGTTTGAACTAAATATGCAACCTAAACCAAAAAAACTTATCAAGTCAAGAGACTGTAGATAGCACTGATAACCTCATAATGTAATGAGTGAGAGTGAGAGTGTGTTCATGCGTTAAAGACCAAAGTGCATTTTAACTTCAGAAGATTTTTTAGCAGGACATTGTACAACAATATAAAAACAAAGCTATAGCAGCAGACTATTATAAAACCAGAATCTAAAGGGTTTGAATTCTTGCAATGTTTGTGGTACCAGTTGTTGCTAAGGAGGAACCACATGCATACACATGAAAACTGTCCTTATCTAGGGAGTTCCAGCCCAACCTGGAAGGGATTTGTTACGTGTTTGCCTGGCAGTGTATTTGGATTTACTTTTCTGGACCTTATTTGGGTATTATATACACTTTAGCAGGGGTGGCTGAATTTAATTTAATTTAATTTAATTTAATTTAATTTAATTTAATTTAATTAAGGGTTACATTCACTTCAGCCATCCCTTTGAATCCACAAGCCAGCCACGAGTGTCACCCCCCCTACTTGCTTGCATGCATAAATGCAGGTGTGTGTGCATGCATACATAGAGGCAGACAGTCCACCTCCTGGGCACGTCAACACTGTCTTTTCTTTTCCTGCTGCCAAAATAGGTGGGAACTTAAGAGTCAACGAAAGCTTGCATGGTGGACTGAATCAGGCCCTTGAACTGGGGTGATGGTGCTTAACCACCCCTGCCCTATAGCACATGAGAACCAATTTAAATGTGGTGTATACAGAACAGGTTGTATATGTGATTATTCTCTTTTTTACTAATATTTTCAATGCATGGATAGAATGAGCTGGCATCCATGCATGTATCACGATGGCTCCTCCTGAACAACTGGTAACACAAACAATGCAATAATTTAAGAGGAGCCCTGCTGGGTCAGACCAAAGGTATCTAGTCCAGCATCCTGTTCTCACAGTGATCGGCCCCCAAGCAGGGCTAGAGTTCAAAAACACTCTCCCCACTTGTGCTCTCCAGTAACAGAATTCAGAGACATCCTTCCTCTGGCAGCAAAGGGAGTACACAACCATCAAGCCTAGCAGCCATTGAGAGCCTTATGCACTGTGAACTTGTCCAATCTCCTTTCAAAGCCATCCAAGCTGGTGGCCATCATTACATCTTATGACATCAGATCCCATAATTTAACTATGCACTGTGTATAAGAGGGGAGGGGGCATGACAGAGGTGTGAATTTATATGCACCTCTATCATATTGTCCTCTTTATCACCTTTTTCCTTAACTCAAAAACTTGGAAGTGTTGTAACCTTCCCTCATAAAGGAGTTGCCCTCTTACAGCTGCTATTTGAGTTGTGACAGCCGTAACTAGTTTGGGTTTTTTTACATTCTGCTGGTGTGGCTTTGCTTTTATATTTTGCATAATTTCTTACAGAAGGAAAACTTTTTGAGACTGTCACACATTTAGGTCTTGGATACCCTTTCTCCCCACACCATGTTGTCAGATTTATCAGTGTTATCTACTGTCTGTTGACTATCAATAATATTTTGTTTTAGTTTGCACATCAAGTTAACTGAGATTTAAAATTATTTCTGTGCACTTTTCTCTAGTTTTGTTTTTGGTTGAGGCAAGATCATATTTCTGTTTTGTGTCGCTGCAATTGCGTCTCAACAAAAGTTATAATGCAGCTGGGCCCCAAAATGGAGACATAGCACAATACAGACTTCTGCCTACCTTGTTTTTGGCTGGAGATGCCAGGGATTGAACGTGCGACTTTTGGCACGCTATGGGTCCCTCTTTTGTGCAACGTCTGTATGGAAATTAGAATGAGCCAGTGATCCTACAATTTCCTACCTGGGAGAAAAACCCAATGACAAAGTAGACTTAAGTTCTCAGTAATCACACACTGGGTTGGACTGCATGTTTATAAAACCCTTCATGTGTTGACAGCTAACAGCTGGTGAACATTCTGGAAGATTTAATGAACTCAAATATACTATAAAACAGCCAATACCGCAAATTTCTCTTGTAAATATTTTAGAGTCCTACTTTCCAGAATGTTAATAAGGCAACTTTAGGAGGGCAGTTGCTGATGCAATTAACAGTTCTACCCCCAAGACTCTAGGAACATTTGGTTGTCACGTGTAGCTTGCAATGCTCTGCATGAACGACACACATGCACTTATTGCTGAAACAAACTACAGCAAATAAATTCTGACAACAAAACACCGTAGCAATACAGGTATAGACAAAATGATCCTTAAGCTCATATTTGCAAATCCGAACTCTCTGTTTTATTAACTGAAACAAACCAAAAATTTCAAGAGAAAAAGGTGGGGTGGGGGAGAGTCTAAAAACCAAATATTCTTAGTATATGTGTATATGTGTATGTTGTTGTAGCAGTATGGAACTCTACACAGTAAGAAAAATAACGATTTCTTGGTAGAGAATGTAGAAACCTTAGACAAATGTGATCCTTATACTATTTCAAGTTAACTTTAAAAATAGAAAGTGCTTTTAAATATATATATTTACAGGTTACAACCTCCAACCATCACTAGTGATACTGTTTGTGTGTGGATGTGTGTGGACCATACACGTGCACACACAAACCTATACAGACATGAAAGATCTGTACAAAGATAAATCATCATTGGTTTGTTATCCTTAACTTGGGCTTCACAGCAACGACTGGAAGCTGTCGGAGCAATGGCACCATGAAGGAAAAAAAAATCAGCTTATCTTTAACTGTTTCTTGTGATTGAGCACCAAGAGCTGTGTATAGCTAATACTGTCTAAATTGATTTTACATCATAAAAGTTGAAGTATGTTAAAATCTTTATAAAAAGCCCATTTGTAGTAAACAGACAATTCAAAGCACCAAAGTATAAATTCCAAAAGGTAATAAACTGAATAATTCAATCAGGATTAATAACCTAGCCAAAATCATTTAACTATACATATTTTTTTTTTGCTTAAAATGTGCTTGAAAATCACCAGATGTTAAAATATATAAAGTCACAGTTTAAGGGAAAAAAATCATATATTTTTTTTACCTCAGCCTTCAAAATGGTTGAGATGAACAAAGAGTAAACCATACAAGACTTTGTTCTTTAACAGCACCTTTAGGGATTATTGTGTAACACTGCTCCCAAGGCAAGGTTGTACAGTTGCTATAAAAACTTATGCCCAGTGGTTATATGGCCCGGCAACTCGAGTGAGGGCATAAGTAGACACCGTTATGATGTTATCATGAGTTACTGTTAATGCTCGGCGCGATGGAATTTGGTTGAATTCATTGTCTTCATAGAAAATCTCTCTCGTGGCACTGGCCTGGTGCACATTCCTGTCATTGGGTTGTACATTGGTATTTTCAGTGCTTGATTTTTCCGCTGCTTTCTCCTTTGCTCTCTCGGCCATCTTTGCCTCCCACAGCGCTATCCCATGTTTTGGCTCATTTAAGTTTTTGTGTTGGTAGAAGACTAACGATATCCGTGTGGGATGATTCCGGTTCGGCTTTTTAATCGGAGTTGTGGCGTGTAGCTCACGGCGTGCACATTCAATTAAGATGGAGCCGTGTGATGGCGCTACAGCTACCCCACCTATGTCATTATCCAAAAAATTATGCTCACTGTCAGACCACATTTCCTCTGCTTTTTCTTCGGACTCTGTGCGCTTTAAGAGCTCACAACTTGGGTGTTTATCCGCAGTGGCAGAATCGCAATTTGGGTTCTTGAAACCACCTTTTTGCATTGGACACTCCTGGGAAGAACCAATTTCATTTCTGACTATATCTTCTGGAGAATTTAACGGCACTGAGGAATCACAAGAGCTAGCCAACTGTGAGGCAGGAGAGTTTTCTAACTTTATTTCACAATTTTGCTTGCTGACTACTCCTTGTTCAAGTGTGTGGGGCAAGGTATCTCTGAAGGCTGTGGATTCTGAAACAGTAAGGTCTTGAAGGAATGGGGGCACCCCATTCCTCTTCTCATCCAGCAAAATTCCAGTATGATCGCTGATGGACACATCAAAGATCTTACCTTTGGGTGTCACATGAGGTTTGTTACTACTGCATTGCAAATACCCGTAGGGAGTTGAAAAATCTTGTTGATTATTACTCACTGGCATTATACCACCAGCTTTGTGAGTTAATGGAGAGCAAGAATGTAAACTATCCAGCTTTAAAGGGGAGGAAGGAGCATATTGCTTTAGTACAGAGCAATTTTTAGTAGTGTCTGAATTGTGTTTTATTGTAGAAAGGTGATCACCACTCTCCATTTTTGTCCCAGGTTGCAATGAATTAGCTTTGCTCCCTAAGGAGAAAAGAACAAAATGTTTTAAATATAAAGCTCTACATTTTTCTGTAGCTGGTCAATAAAAAAAAGCAAACTTAATTGTGAGAATATGAATTTCCCTTCAATGGAGGCTTATCGTTTCCAGCAGAGAAGAGGCAGCTGTATCTTGGGTAAGAGTTTTAGCAGTGAGTGCTGAGCTGGAAATAGCACATGTGTGTCTTTGGGAGGGGTGGGGGAAATGTGAAGACTGGCTGGATATGGGAATCCAAAATGTGCTAAAGTACCCTGCCTTTGACTAAAAAGGACTTCCTTCTGAAGTGGCTGAAATTTTAAAATTTCAGCTGATGAAGTGGCTTGCAAACTCCAGCAGACACAGCTCACATGCACAACAGGTATACATTCTCTAAATATCATGTGAAAATTTGCTATTAGTAGCTCTACCCAACCTAAATGCAGTACTTTTTCAGGATGAGAAATTAACAGAGTCAACACTGGTCACCTTCCGCTGAGTGCCTTCAGCAACTTACAAATATAGAAATAAAAATAAAAATATTAATATAAACCTTCCTCCTGTAGGAGTCCAAGGTGATTCACAAATTTTAAAATCAACCACCACAAAAAACAAAGCTTCTAAAATTACATTTTAATACTAAAAAAAATGTAGCACAACAGGTTATACTGAAACTGTTGGACTCCAGATTCCATTTGTGTCCCCAAAGTTCAGATGAAGGTGTCTTCGGTTGACACCTAAAGTTGCCAATGCAGGGGTCAGACACACTTTTCCAGGCAGGGAAATGCACAATTGCAGTATCAAGAAGCCCCTGCCTGGTGTTACCTCACAAGATGCCATATTGTTGGCAGGACAGTGAGCATGGCCTCCCTCAACTGTCTCAAATCATGGGTCTGCAAGGTATTGGGAGAAGACCTCCTTTAAATACGGGGCCTCGAAGAAGAAGAAGAAGAAGAAGAAGAAGAAGAAGAGGAGGAGTTTGGATTTGATATCCCGCTTTATCACTACCCGAAGGAGTCTCAAAGCGGCTAACAATCTCCTTTCCCTTCCTCCCCCACAACAAACACTCTGTGAGGTGAGTGGGGCTGAGAGACTTCAGAGAAGTGTGACTAGCCCAAGGTCACCCAGCAGCTGCATGGGGAGGAGCGGGGAAGCGAACCCGGTTCCCCAGATTGCAAGACTACCGCTCTTAACCACTACACCACACTGGCTCTCGAAGCCATTCAGGTTTTGTATGTCAGTACCAGCACCTTGAATTGGGCCCAGGAGCTCACAGGCAAGCTGGGCAGTGCTTTAAGGATCAATTACATGTGATCCTACCTTGGTGCCGCACTTAACAATCTACCAGCTGCATTCTGCACCAGCTGTAGCTTTTGGACCATCTTCAAAGGTAGCCCATGCAGAGGGTGTTGCAACTTTAGAATTGTGAGATTGTCAGAATACGAATTACTGATGTCAGGCTGTCACTGATCCAGGAACATCCATGGCTGGCAAACCAGCCATAGCTGGGCACAGGCACTCCTCACCACTCAAGCTACTTGGGCCTCTAACAACAGCTTTGAATCGAGAAGAACTGCTCAAGCTGCACACCTGTTCCTTTAGACACCTGTTCCTCCACCCAGAACAGGTCGTCTCCCTAATTCCTGGATCTGAGAACAACTTACCCACATAGGACCTCCACCTTGCCATGATTCAGTCCGTTTATTAAATGTACTCTTGAGATTCTGATTGCGCTAACGTTTTGCTTCATCCCACCCTCAATACCTAACTTATTAGACACACTGAGAGCTTGATTGTTGATTTCAGATTCTGAGAGTCAGCCCTACCTTTGATAAACAGATTTCTGCCAGTATCAGTTAACTTTTGAAACAAGGTTTATCGTACCTACCTAAACTTTTTGAAGCTTTATTGGTATTTTCCTGCACTCTGTTTTTTCCCTTTGCAGGAGCAGACAGCTTCTTCTCTGCTAAGGTTTGCTTCTTTGAGTCTGCTTTCTTCTTTTTCGTCGCTCTACGTGGCTCTGCTAGCATTCTTACTTCTCGTGGGAAAGCAGTAAGCACCTGGATTGCCCCAGCTTTTATCTTGGCTTCCAGACCCTCCTCTGTGCCAAATTCATCTGTTTGTGAGATTTTGTAAAGCGGCAGCACATGCAGCTGCTCATCATTGGGTATCACCCCAACCATGCGGTTATCTTCTTTTGTTAATGTACAAACCTAGCCAGAAAAACGGGGAGGGGGGGAGAGAATAATAAATCATCACTTATTTGTTAGTGAAGCAACTTTAGCAAAGGTGATATTTATGTTTTAGCATGCAGAATATTATTCTACTTAGGGTGCTTGTGTGAAAAATAAGGAAATTCCCCTCTCCTTCAAACATCAAGCCCACATGTCATGGTTTGAATAACATTGCACAATTTTAGAAACACTAACAGCACAATCATTCACAGCTGCTTTGCACCTTTAAAAAGTTCTTCTGTCTAATGACTTTCACAAGTGGGGAACCCCTGGAGCAGATTTTGGGCAGCACAGAGGAGAGAAGTTTTGTTGCACTTGCGGAAGTTGTTCTCCCCATGCAATGATTTGGTTCCCTTACCTCTATCAATCCATAAAAACTTTTAACTTTCAACCACGGCAACTTGAAGCGTCCCTTGCAAATTACTTCAGCTTTATAAAGGAGATTGCAACATATCCAAGAACTAGAGGTCTACTTAGGGCAGGAAGCCGATTATTTGTTTTGTCTTGCATTTGTTGCAGTTCTGAATTGCTTTTTATTTTATTTTATAAACGTGGCTTTTTTGGATAAACTTTGCAAGAAGACTTTGTAAAGAAGAGCATAAACAATTAAGAACAAAAGCAAGTCTAGAAATAAGGGTGCATTCACAGCTACAGGGTAGCAACCTAAAGAAGCCAAGTAGATAAATTGTAAATGAACAAGCACTTGGGAAACTGAATCCCAACAACGTTGCATACCACAGTGCTTCCATTGTGCATGTTGTGTGTATCCTTATGGGCATGAGCACAAAAATCGATGCAAGCTGTGACACCAGAAAAAGGTCGGCCATCCTTAATCCCAAGTCGACAGTCAGGACCCAGGTGCTCATTTTCCACCTTAAAAAAATAAAATTATTTATTCATTCATTCATTAATTTTGTATACCACCCTTCATCCGAAGATCACAGGGAGGTTCACAACATAAAAATACAAAATGAAAACACAAAATATATAATAAAACAAAAACAAATTAATAACTGCCCTCCTACAAATACAAATAAATCTTATATGGAGATAACATTGTATCTCACCAAACACCACCAGCTTCAGGGACAATTTTTCATTTGAAGTGAACAACTGGACTGAGAACACATAAACCCAATTTACATGCCATGGAATACCAAAGGTCACATAAGCATGAGATCACTCCTTTTTTGCCCCTTTCTTTAGCCATCAGGAACCAAAAACCACAATTCCTGGCTTAGCATTACTTCCAAACTAGGGGTTGTGGTTTGTTTTGCTCCAACAAAACAAAACTTGCACACTCCAAGAACGAACCTTGTGTTCACAACATGGTTTGATTGGAGGAGAACAAACCATAACTCCCAAGGATTATGGTTTGTTGCTCTAACCCACTAGAGGAGAGGACTACAGTAAGAACCATTTGCACACTCATGGTAAACCATTAACCATGGCTAACTTGTTCGTGGTTTACCATGACATGCCAACACTGTCATTGTTATGCATTGCTAAATATGAAAGTAAATGCTTGACTTATTTGATGAGAATTGTGCTAAAAATCCTTAGATCTACAATCTAATTAAAACAACATCTGTCAGGATTTATTGATCTACCAACTTCATGCAATACACTGATCGGCAATGAGGATGAAAAATACAACAATTAGTTTTTTGACCCTGTTAGTAAGCAGGGGACACAGCAGCAGGAATTTGAAAGCTGTAACACCAGCAGTGCATTTCTTTCTAGAAGTCCTACAGTGTTTAATGAGACATACTCCCAGTTAAGTGTGCATAGGATCGCAGCCTAGCTGTTCTTTCAGTTAGGCCAGTTAAGGTAACGAAAGGCCTTCAACTAACTTGTGCAGCTTTTCTTTCTGCATCACCAGTATTAAAACGATGATGTGTCATAATAGAGATAATGGAGTTTCTTTGATTTTACCTGGTTTTGAAAAGCATCAGGGGCTAGTTTCTGATACAGTGGAGCAACATCAGTGGCTAAAGTTTGCAAATTGTTTTCGAGATGTTCTTCCTAGACAGGGAAAGGAGTCATCATATCATTTTATAGCTTGAGAAGCAGACTAGTAAAACTGTGAAAGCAACATCAAACGTAGATTCAGTATGCTATTTAGTCAGCTTCCTGTGGTTTTGGTTACTAACCCACATGTAAGTTTGCTATCATAATGGCAAAACATAGCAACATTCTTGAGAGTTGCTCAAAGGAAGGGAAAAGCAGTCAGCAAATTAATTGCTTGGCACTAAAAGAAGTTCACAAAAGATCCCAAGTTCACTTTCCATTTCCAAGAGAAAGATATAATGGAGGTGTTGGATGGGAGTTCACATTGGCATTAAAATACAAACATATATTTCTTCTTCAAAGCAAGTACCATGTTTGGAAACCTGCTACATAATAATGAAAGTGTTTGTATGATGCTTTAGAGTGTTCCAAGCATTTCACACACAATAGACTAGTTCACATGTCAAATTATGCCAAACCATGGCTACATTCCTCCCTAGTTATTTTGCTGCTGCACCATACTGACCTAAGCCACAGTGTGGCTTTGGGTGTTGTCTAAACCAGCTTCACTGTTTAGCTCTCTCCAGACTAATAACAAGCTGTAACCAAGATTTGTTGTCTGGTTTACGATTTGTAAACCATGTTCCCAGGTTCATGCTAAGCCAAACAATGACATAGCTCAACACAGCACAGAAGCAAAATAACCTGAGAAGAGCAAAGCTGCCCGTGACTTCACTCTAAGCCATGGTCTGGCTTTGCAAACCAGACTATTATTTCAGTAATACTTACAACTGTCCTGTAAAGTAGGTCATAATTATAATCACCCTAATGTTGCAGATGGGAGCAAAGTGATTCAAATTAAGAGAGCAGCAACATACATAAAGCCGCCTACTGAGTTAATAGGGGAGGTAATTATGAGAACTCTCTGGGTGGATTTTGGTGATGCTTTAACACAATCATTGCAATCATTGCGGCAGAAATGCTTGCCAGAGGGAAGGATCTCCCCTCTCTTCTCCCTGCGCCCTGTTCTCAGGGTTTGCCCAGCACTCCCAAGCAGATTTGGAGAGGGCGTGGGGAGTGCATGGGGAAGGAGACAGTCGTCTTGTGCTAGTGGGACTTGTGCTGCTTTCCATTAATGCAACAACTTAGCTGAATTCTGCCCTCTGGATCACAGCCAAGGCTATGGGGGGAGAGGGAAAGAAGAGAAGTGAAAAAGCAAACACACAAAATAAGAAACCGTTTTGTTTTAAATTAAAACATTACATTTGCTTAAAGAAAATTCACTTAGACCTATGCTAATATGGCAAGCACATTGGTTTGACCAAACAACTACTGTTACATTTCTCTGAGGACATAGTGGATATCCTTTCGTTTCTCCTTCCCCATCCCCCAAAAGTTTTTTGTCTACTGTCATCAGTCATTCAGCAATCCATGAACACTGAGCATGCTTAGCTCTCACTGGAGTCTCCCTCGTTCCTTCCCTAGTTTTTTATCCTCCCTATAATTTTTTATACTTTGGCAAATCTCAACTTGCAGACTTCTCCAAAACCTTGTTGTGCCATTCTGGCTACATTAATCTATGGCCTGGACACTGAAAACAGATGGCATGATGATGAATGGCGAGTGCCTTCTCTGTCTTAACCAAACAGTACAGAATGCTCATTGCAGTTGCATTTTCCCAAGCTGATATACTTTTGCGACTTTATTTAGGTTTTGCTAGTCTTGTAGTGGCTCAGTTGTTGAAGCAACATACTTATTTTGCAAGGCACTCAGCACGACACTGTGATCCAGTGCGATGGCAATCTCACTCTCTTCTGTGAGATGGGGGAAACCACACATATACCCCAAGGGATTCCTCTTTGCATCCGTGGATTATTCCCAGATGACACTCCTTGTGCACATGACACCCTCCCTGATCTGCCCATGTTGCACAAGCATTAAGACGGCATCTGATGACATAAGACTAATCCAGGAAAGCTCAAGCCATAATAAGGGTGTTAATGTTTAAAAATGCTTCAAGACTCTTTGCTGTTTTTGTTGTTGTTGTTACAGCAAAAAACAGACTGAAGAAATCTGGTCGCTCTTACACGCGTGCACAATACATTGAACTCCCACACACAAAAATGTTGCTATCTACCCAATATTTCTCTTTGACTGCATTCTAGCCGACAGAGATATCTGGCTTTATAAATCTATGCTATGTGCTATTCTTACCTAAAAGAACAATCTTACACTTCTTTACATTAAACCTCATCTCACTCCGTCCAGTTGCTCAAATGATCCATATCTGTCTGTACTTTGAATCTATCTTCTTCTGCTTTTGCATTGCTATACTTCCTAGATTTATGTCATCTGCAAAATGATCAATATTCAGTATTTAGCTAAGATAACACCTAATAAAAACAGTGACAGAAACAGAAAACAGATAAGTGATCCATCTTTTTCATCCTTAACATAAGAACTATATGATTTAGCACTTGCTTCAGCAGCACATAAGTATATGAAAATGCCTCATCCCATACCAGCCTGCTTGTTCATTAAGAATTGCACAGGAGTCCCTATTATGGCCCTCTTGCTAAAGGCGATTCACAGTGCAGAGGCACAGGGGAGGGTTTTCTCTGTGATAGCCCCAAAATTGTAATGGTCTCTTCTCTGAGGTGCATTATTCCCCTACATTTCACTTAGATGACTGGCAAAAACACACCTGCAGACCCATGATTTTGGAAGAGATGAATAACTAGCACAAGGAGAAGGTTTTCACTGTACTTTCAACTTTTTCCTGTCATTATTGTATTTTACAATGGGTTTCAGTTTGTTTATAGCTAAATATGGCTTTAATAGTTTTTTAATGTTGAATGCTTTCAGTGTTTACTGTGTGCCACTCTGGGGCACTCAGATACAGGAAAATACTGGAAAAATTTAAAAAAACCAAAACCACTATCAGCATGCCCCCTATGCAAGCATGAAGTATTACAACTTTTTTAAAAATTGGGACTATGGGAAATAAAAACTAATCAGTGGCTGAAATAACTGTTATTTAAACTGACACCTTGAAGATGTTTGAGGATGTTCAATTTCTATCTGGGAGGGCACATACAGTCAGCTATGGGCTATTGGAGGCATGAAAGGATGGCATTGGTGAAGGAGCCAGCAAGTTAACTGCAAACAAAAGGGTAAATAAAACGTCAAGAAAGACTTTGGTGTACTGTAAGCCAATAATGTATGAGTGCTTTGGCACAAACAGCACTGTCGTGGTGCTCAGTTTTCACACAGAATCTATGTAGTAGGGATAGAGAGGGAGAAATGAGGAGATTACATTAGGTATCATGCTGCCTTGAATGCTTATAAATGTATATGCCCAAGTGATCCAATTAGCAAAAAACCCCTGCACCCTTTTTGCTTTTAGTCCCTAAAAAGTAAAATTAGAAATTATTTTGAGAAAGGCAGGAAGGACACTTACTTGTTTGTGATCATCAGTGAGAAGTCTAAATTTCCTGGGGGCTTTGCTTCTGGCAAACTTACAGCCATTATAATACATACTCCATGAACAGCCAAATGAGAAGGATGCTCCACATGTCTCTGGATCAAGGCCTTGACAGGCGCAGGTACGACTGTGGAAGATTTAAACAAGTGGCAATCAGCCAGCGGTGCAGCAAGCTTCTATAAATGCAAAACCCCAAACATCTCTGAACAGAACAATGGAAAAACACACGTGTCATAGTTCATCAGCTGTTTTTGATAATGACCAATTTGGGTATAAATGTTACTTTTCCATTACTGTGTATAAGAGATTTCCTAGTCAATTGACCTTCAAATGGGATATACTAAGTTTATAATTTAAGCTATTTAGAGAAAGAGATCATGCTTGATAGGTTTGGTTGTGATTCCTTCACAGCATCAGAAGCAGCACAACAAGATGTGGCTCAAGTAAATTAAAATGAAGGGAAACACCTGTCTTCATGTAATTTCTTTTTTTGCCAGAGATGGAAACAGGAGGCGCAGAAAGCTCATTTTGGTCATCCCACACTATACTCAAATTGGCAATTAAAAGTTGGCTACATCCTACTCAACTACAAAATAACACTTTTTCAAGTTTTATGTACTAGGGCTATAATCTGAAATCTTAAAAAAAACTAATTACGAGTCACAGAAGCAAATTATGTAGAATTAAAACTTTCATGCATCAAAATATGTGTTCTGGAGTGCACTCACTCTTCATTTAGTGCACATCTTCGGCTAGTTGGACAGCCATATTTTCTGAGGCTCTGGGTCAGTTCCTTGTATAGAGTGTCAGCCAGAAGATGAGGAATCCCCTCCCAAGCCAAAATAAGTATCACAATGACGGCATTTTGGCAGTGATGTCCTGCACGCTGTCGAACCAAGCAGAGCAGTTTTTCTTCATCACTACTTCTTCGTATCACCTGAAAAACAGGTTGAGTTGTTTGTATATCAAACAGAAATGATCTAAGGCACTGATGCCAGTTATTTGTTTGCAGAGACCCTGCTGTCGTGTTGGATTTCTTCTAATGATTGCATATTGCTACCAACCCTTATTTACCAGAATTTTGTTTTATTAGTGTCTTCACCACTCTCTCTAAGTTAGCCACATCTGGAGGGTTATTTGTTACCCATCCCTGCCTCAAGGCACATCAGAACTCCATTTCCTTCTCCTCTTCATGGCTCATGTACAGAGATACATATGTGCTAAAGTGAAGAGGGTAAAGTCAGGTCCTACAGAGCTTCCTCCAATCATGAGCACAGCATCAGACAGGAAAAAGGATTGTGCCCCAAATTCAGTGTTCATTTTGCAGAGATGATGGATAATGGGATTAACTGGTTTGCACTGTGTTACATGTTTGAAAGCTTGTAGAGTCTTTTAAATTGGTAGGCAAAACAGTAAAATAATTATTACTAATCTAAACCCACCAGTGTTGTCGTCCCAATGCATCAACTCTAACCAGGTTACAAAACCACAGTTGGAGATGGATTAACAAACTCCATAGTTAGTGTCAGTACAGCAGTTAATGCTGAGCCACCACTAAAGCGGGAAAGACAAGGCAGAATTTGCGAGAAAGGGGAGAAAAGAGCACAGAAACCCATTCCTTGTTCAGTGATTGGACATGTAACATTGGCACTTTGGCCTATAAAAAAAATGCTTGATGGTAACATTCAATTTACACACTTACTCAATCCTTCTTTGATAACAGTACCAGTAATGGAAGAGCACACAAGGCATATGCAAGTCTGGATCTTAGGAAGTTACAGACCATAAAACACAGAGATACCTACTCACAGGCACATTATGTCACAAATGTGAATGAAATGAAGCAGATGAGACAGAAGGATGTCAAAAGAGGGCTTCTGTTGTATATACCTCCCCTCCCACCCAGCTGAGTGCCATTGAGAACAGCTGTGGGGCATGCCCAGTAGTAGGCTCCTAATTGTTTCTAGCGCTAATCAGCTGGGCAGTGGGCCTACAGGCCACACATGAAAGTCAGCTATGGGCCCAAAGTGGCTCACTGATTTCCCAAATGTGATCTACACCCACACATTTTAGCAGTTACTTATGACCCTGGAACAAAGTCATCACCAGCTCATTTGTCTTAGAAACAACCTCCTATGCTATTTATTCCTTTGTAAAAGTACAACATTGAAGTACTAAACAGAGATGGTCAGCACAAATAGATTCACAACCAATTTTAGCAAAGTAGCAGGTTCTGTATTCAACTCTACTAGCAGCAAGTTACGTAGCGATTATTCAATGTAAGATATCAGATTTAAACTGCTAAAATACACTAGAAGCCTTACGATCCAGTCTCTCACTGAGTTGTATTCCACAATGTCATTTTTTTGACCAACACAGACTCTGTACTTTTAATAGCTGCAGAAATTCAATGTGAACAGGTTTTCAAATGGTTGCACATACTTGACAGCAAAAAGGCATAGCACTGAAATTTCTGCATGCCATGCAACTGTTATAGGTTCTGTCGGGGAAGGAGGCACCCCTAAATTCAACATGTCTCCTCCAAATACATATCATTCTACTTAAAGTATTTTTGTTAAAACATTTGACATTTCCAAATACCCAAGATTCCCAAACCACCTGGGGCAATTCTGAATCACACTTTTAAAGACACTTATGTTCCTTTCTAGACAGAGTGAAAATCTAAGGCCTATTGGAAAACAAACAAATAGTTTTTCAACAACTATAATTCACTGTGGATTGCTTACTTGTAGGGCTGTACCTTTTAATTGGTTTAAATGTAGGATTGAGCCATCTGTAGCTTAGCTGTTAGTAGAACTATGAGTTATAAGTGCATTTATTTACAATTTTATTTTTTGCTTGATGCTATGATTGGGAATGAAAAAGTATTAAAACAGGTCTACCAAGTCTACTACTCTTTTTTTTACTGAGTTTTACAGAAGGCATGCCAGAATTGTAACTTCACATCTTCAGTAATGAAATCAAAATGAATTTAGCCCCAAAGTTCTCTCGAAACGGTCTCTCACTATTACACATCCCTCAATACTTAAAATGAAACCAGTGCTGATTTTCATAATAACACTAAGTCTATAAAAATAGTGGTATGATTGATTATTCTTGCAAATTTCTATAATAATAATAAACCTTTATTGTCACTACACCACCTGTGTGCAGTGAAATTAAACGAATTTCTCAGAATTTCTATTATCACCATCAAATTACAGTGGTACCTCGGTTTAAGAACAGTCCTGTTTAAGAACGATTTGGTTAACGAACTCCGCAAAACCAGAAATAGTGTCCCAGTTTGAGAACTTTACCTCGGTTTAAGAATGGAATCCGAACGGTGGAAGGGCACCAGCGGCAGGAGACCTCATTAGGGAAAGCGCGCCTTGGTTTAATAACGGTTTCGGTTTAAGAATGGACTTCCGGAATGGATTAAGTTCGTAAACTGAGGTACCACTGTATACTGGAATTCACAGTGCTGCCTACAGAACAGGAGTAGGCACTATCCCAGTAACCACAATGTTCTGCAAACTTCCTGGGTAGAACAGTTGTGGAGCTGTATTGACATAAGGTTTTTATTTTTGAATTTCACCCTACTGTATATCAACAATGTTCAAACTTAGGTTATTCATCCTTTCTTTAAAAAAGTTTATATCCTGCCTTTCTTCCATGGTACTCAAGGTTACCTACAAAATTCCCAAGCAGTGTCCCATCCAAGCACCAGCCAAACTGAGATCAGTTTAGCTTCAGACTGTCTCTATATGCAATATGCCTATACTGCTCACCTTTACAGACATACAGTTACTCACAAACTCATGCAAAAAGTTAAACATACGTTCCATTCTTAGGAATCATTCTTGGTAACTTAATTGTTTCAAATCATGATGTTGAACAAATCCACTTACATCTTCAACATCTTCAAGCAAATGAGTATTTTTATTTGGAACCACAAACAACAGAATAACTGAACACATTCAAAGCACTATCTTTCTCATTATTAAAAACATCAAATGCAGAGGATCATGAAAGTATACAATCTCCCCCTCAACTAAAGTTTGAAATGGTACAGTACAGGAAGGACTAAACCATGTGCTACTTCTGCATTTTTTTAAATTGGCTTTTTAGATTTGTCTGCTTTTCTGCTAAATTACATGCGAGAGAACCTGCTGTAGCCTGAATTTATCTCAAGGATGTTCTCCTTTTCCACTTTTCCTACACACTGGGGACTCCTGAATATGAAATGAGCAGGTAATAGATGGCATTTCAACATACTTCAAACTTGAAATACCTTCCCACTATGTTGGTGTTTCATAATGGCATATAATCAGCAGTCATTATGCAGGAGTACTTTTAGGATCTTGCATGATCAAATATTCTAGAGATACTTAAATCTTCCTATGTTATTGACTTGTATATGTAAAAGACTATTCCTTAAATAAATTATTAAAAATATCCGTTTTTACAAAACCACATACCCCAATGTCTAGAATGCACTTATAAAAGTTAATGCCATGGGCAAGCATACTTCCTGCAGCAGTTTTAACTGCTTGGGTTCTACTTACTTGAAATATCTCTTTAAGATTGCTGAAGCAACTGTCTCAACCCTTGGCAGGAGCTCTGGAATAAGGAATAAGTTCTCTGTGAATAAATATTACTTGATGTAGACTGTCCCTTCAACATCAGCCAACTAACTAATATGAACGTGCATGGGTTCACACACATATAAATGATAGAATGAATTACACTAATGTGAAATCCAGACATAAGGTAAAATAGCTTCTCTCTATGGCAGTATAGATTAGGGCAGTTAATTCCAAAATGGAACATCCTGCAGACAAGATTCCATCTGCCTGCAGTTACAGACAGCAACTCTAAGAAAGACTGCAGAGCAGTGGCTTACAATGTGTGCAAGACAAATGGAACCCAGAAAAAAAGACTCCAATCAAGAAAACACTTGAAAACATATCAGTTTATAACAGCCTGGTTCGCACAAAACATTAAGCCATGGTTTGTTTGAATATCTGGACTCAGCCCAGCAGTCTAACCATGGTTTGCTTTCGGCCAGCAAACCACAATATGAAGCTGTGGCTTGTTATTGGCTTAAAAATCATGTCTGGTTTTAGCATTGTGCTTGAACACAACCATGGAATGCTTGGCACCCCAACCAAGATACTCAAAGGGACAAGGCAAGAGGAAGCAAACCAAGGTTGGGAGAAACAAGTCATGGCTTAGCATTATGTGCAAATACACCAAGTGTGTCACTTCCGCCAGTATAAAAAGCAACAATGCGGCAAAAACTAAATAGGAATTGAGGTATGCATTAACCAGCCCCAGGGGAAGAATGTAAATTTTGGCAATTTTTTTGAGCTCTGACACATTGCTCAAACCTTCATGTAGCAAGATCTCTAACCTATTATTCTTCCATCACCAAAGATACAACCATGGATTTAAATTTTCTGGATGTCTGGTCCAATCACTACTGAAAGATTGTGACATGAAGATATAACACAGGTGAGAACAGTACGCTCTAAATGAAATGGCACAGTGTAGATATGCAAAGTCAAGTCTCTACTGGTCTGATATGCACAACACTTTAAACCACAATTACACTAAACTGTGGTTTTAAGGTAAACATGAAGCATACATGTCTCTTCTACCCTGCTCTTATTGCTGCCAGGAGCTAGGCGGCCATGGTCTGGCTAAGTGTTACCTCTGAACTTGAGCTTGTGATTCATTTCCTCCAAACAAGCTTAGCTCCCAACAGGGGTGGAAAACAAGCAAACTGCCCATGGTTTCAGTAAGGTGCAGCCGCATCCTGCGTGTTACTCTTGAAACCATAGTTTAGTTTAACTATGGTTTCAAGGATGTGAAAATGAGACCACTGTCTAGAATGCAGGAAAGTGCTGAGCACTTCAGCTTTTAAAAAAGATCCTAACTGCAGCTTTGTTTTCTCTTTTAATTGTACCCTGTAGCTTCTTCAATGCATTATAATCCTTATCACACCAAGATGACATTTAAGAGACCAGTCAGATATAGACTACAGAAAAGACCTTGTGGTTCTATTGAACAAGGGTCTATTGAACAAAAACACTGATCTTCCACACTTTCTTTACAGCGTTAAATTTTATAATTTAAAATTTCGACAGTGGAACAGACTTCCTCGGAAGGTGGTGGACTCTCCTTCATTGGAGGTGTTTAAGCAGAGATAGGATGGTCATCTGTCATGAACGCTTTAGTTGAGATTTCTGCATTACAGGGGTTGGACTAGATGACCCTCAGGGTACCTCCCAACTCTACAATTCTATGAGAATTTGAAATTGGAGACAAACTATAGGAACAGCTCAAAGCCACATGACAGAAAAACAGGATGAAGCTTTTAGAAGATGGTCAAATAAAGACTACAGTGGTTCCTCGCAAGACGAAATTAATCCGTTCCGCGAGTCTCTTCGTCTTGCGGTTTTTTCGTCTTGCGAAGCACGGCTATTAGCGGCTTAGCAGCTATTAACGGCTTAGTGGCTTTAAGAAAAAGGAAACAAACTCGCAAGACGTTTCGACTTGCGAAGCAAGCCCATAGGGAAATTCGTCTTGCGGAACGACTCAAAAAACGGAAAACTCTTTCGTCTAGCGAGTTTTTCGTCTTGCGGGGCACCACTGTACAGTGGTACCTCGGGTTAAGTACTTAATTCATTCCGGAGGTCCATACTTAACCTGAAACTTTTCTTAACCTGAAGCACCACTTTAGCTAATGGGGCCTCCTGCTGCTGCTGCACCACCACCACCGCACGATTTCTGTTCTCATCCTGAAGCAAAGTTCTTAACCTGAAGCACTATTTCTGGGTTAGCGGAGTCTGTAACCTGAAGCGTATGTAACCCAAGGTACCACTGTACTGAGGTTCATCTCCCTGCTTTAGCAGATCATTACAGATAATTTCCAAACTGTATATATTACACTTTTTCCCATTCTCACTAATGTTATCTATTCTTGAGACTTTTCATTTCTGTCTTTTATAGCTTGGGACCCAAGTACCTAAAAGAGCACCTCCTCCAATATCATCCACCTCAAGTCTTACAGTCAGTGGGGGAGGCCCTGTTGGTGGTGTCCGCCATCTTGATAGTTCCCCATTTATGGAATGCTTTCCCTGGTGAGGTACATCTCCCTTCCTCATTATTAACATTCAGAAGGAATTTAAAAGCCTGCATATTCACCCAGGCATTTGATGGCTGAAATATACTGCTTCCTGGCAACCTTGAAATTATTTAGGTGCAAGGATATCTGATTGTTTTCAAATGATTTGCATTGTTTTTAATTACAAAATCAATATAAGTGCTTAAAAGTTGGGGAGAAATGTCCCCAATAGTCTAAATGCATCCTAAATCATTGTAATTTATTCTCTCTCTCACTCCTGATATATAAAGGTAAAGGGACTCCTGACCATTAAGTCTAGTCAAGGACGACTCTGGGGTTGCGGCGCTCATCTCGCTTTACTGGCCAAGGGAGCCGGCATACAGCTTCCGGGTCATGTGGCCAGCATGACTAAGCCGCTTCTGGCGAACCAGAGCAATGCACAGAAACCCTGGTTAACTTCCCGCTGGAGCGGTACCTATTTATCTACTTGCACTTCGTGCTTTCGAACTGCTATGTTGGCAGGAGCAGGAGCAGGGACCGAGCCCCTGTCATGGGGATTTGAACCGCCAACCTTCTGATTGGCAATCCCTATGCTCTGTAGTTTAACCCACAGTGCAACCCGCATCCCTCCCGATATATCAATATATGCCACTTAATATTTTTACAATTCTTTAACTGGTGTAAAGCATAAAAACAATATAATTACAACAAAAATAAAGCAGTAGTATAAAAGCATCATGGATGACTTTGTTGGCTACAACCCCAAACCAGGAATTAATATAAAGAAAAGCAGGATGAGATTCTTATGGGTCAGGGAAAGCCTGGGCGAAAATATCTGACTTCACAAAACATCTGAAACAACTGATGGTTGCTGCTTCACTTACAGCAAAGGGTATTTCTTAATGCAGGGCAATAACAGAAGATGCCCATTTTCATATCATTACCCTATGACATTCTGTAGGGTACAGTACTACAAGAATTTCCTCAGATTATCTGATTGATCCTACAGACCTATATACAAGGGCAGGCAGTCTTTCAGGTATCCTGGTCTGAGTTGTTTATTTATATGTTAACAACAAGACCTTCAACATGGCCCAGTACCTGATGGGCAGCCAGCGCGGTTTCCTCAGCACAATGTAACACATGCCTATCCAGGTATTCCACACAATAACCGGGGCACAGCATTCTGCACTAGCTGCAGCTTCCAAACTAATCTCAAGGGAAACCCCACAAAGAGCACATATTTAACACCAATTCAGCAAAAATATAAACTATATAAATGTCAAATATTAAGTTTGGCGTTATAGATGACCACAGTCTATAATAACAGAATACAATTGTTTCAATCCATCTTGTCCATTGTATGCTTTTTAATTTTTATGTACACAGCTTGGAAACTTTAGTAATTCATTCATATATAAATACTTTAAACATTTTTAAAAATGCAGGGAAAAATCTTTAAAATTTAGTTTTCTTCAGTGTTGTCTACCCTTATATTGAGCACAATGGCCAGTGTTGGTTCTCCAGTGTTTGTTCTATAAGAACAAAGCACAACATATTGCCATTATTGTTTCACCTTAAATTAGTTCTTAGCACAAATTTGAAGCCCACACTTAAGCCAGTGAATCTCTGTGAATGACATAAGTTTTCCTACTAACACAGAAAATGGCATAGAGTTTACCAGTCCACAGACAACTCTGCTCCAAATAAGCTATTTCATTGTGCTATCCTAACTGCGCAGCTTAGGTATTGCCGCTGAATTAAAATGGAAGAGAATCAACACAGGCACTCACTTTCAATACTGAAACCACAATACAAAGCTCAGAGCAAAATAGATCTTAACCTATGTGCATAGTTATATAAGAAACTGACACCGAACAAACCTTAATTTGCTCTTAATTTTCCAAGAAGAGAAACAGGGGTTAGTTTACTCAGAAATTAATTTTATTTGAGTGGTGTAATGTGAGAAGGAATAAGATAATGGGAGCAGTGGCATTTACTTTAGAATGCTTCATTATCAGTTCAGGTACAAACAAGGGCAAAAAAAGCACTGCAGAATGACTCATTCCAACAGCTGTCACATTAAATGGTTTATTGGTAAGGAATAACAAATTGATATTCCATGTTCAAAATCAGACACCAGATTTAAGGCACATAGCAAACGGGAACATCTGGTTCTTGCATTGTTTTAAAATGCAGAGTTCACACACAAAGACAGTACCTAACACCCACACATACACTTGTGAGGAAGGAAGCATAGTATCATAGTTTAGGACCCCAAGCTGGTATAGTAGATGCTACAACCCATCCTAGGGATTAATTTGCTGATATCCATAATCTTCAGAACAAAGCCATTTAATAAAAACTGGACTAACTATTAAAATAAACCCAATATGCCTCTGTGAACAAGGTGTGGCTTACAGGTGGCTGGTGTAACATAATGGTTAGTAACATAAGCTGTGATCTGAGAAGTCTACAGCTCATATCCCAGCTCAGTCATGAACTTATCCATTTGGCCTTTGGCAAACCAATCACCTTCAGCCTCAGGCCTCTTGTTTGTATCGTGACAGTAATACTGCCCTGTCATAGAACAGCTGTAAAACTTACCAAGATTAAATCCAGAGGTTCGGTGTGCAGTGACACCAGTATGCTGATAATACCCATGCCACCCTGCATTGTCTAGGGAGGCAATAGAAGTCCTCAGTGTGGGATTGGATAAGGCTAAAAACCCAAGCAAAACTTCAGTCCCAATAGTACCAGCCACCACTGAAGTAATTTCTGTCTTTGGATAATCTACTGAGCAGCTTGTAAGCTTTTTCCTGCTGGTTTTTGTTTTGTTTACTGTTGCTGATTTTTAATTCAATTCATTCATTCATTCTTGGTTGACTGGCTTAGATTTGATCATTGGTCACATTGTGCAACCTTTTTGATTCAAAGGGGGTAACAAAGTTATTTTAAAGTATAAATAAATAGCGCTTTGATCACTAAGAAAAAAACACTTCATGGGCCTTAAGCACCATAGCTGCAATAAAAAAATGAATTTCAAGAATACAAATAAAGATATATTACTATAAAACAAAAACTTACCCACTTGGCAATTGGACACCCTTGGGAGCTTTTTCCTTCTCTGCCTGTATACACAACTACCTCAATTCTTACAGCACTTCCTTTTGCTCCATATCTGTAGAAAGGAAAAACTAGTAAGGATTATGAAACGTCCTAGTAATTAATTCCGTTAACAAGTAGAGAAGCAACAGGCTACTATTCTGCTGGGAGTCGCCCAGAGTGGCGGGGAAAACCCAGCCAGATGGGCAGGGTATAAATAATAAAATTATTATTATTACTACCCCTTCTGTAGCACTGAAATAAAAAACCACTTTCCCCATGCTCCTTTTTCACATGTTGTCCAAGAGATCCCATTTTCATTGCTAGCATACACTACTCTGACTATAGTACTTTAGAGAATCATTCCTATCTTGTCCTCTTATTCCCAGTTCTTTCTATCCCACCCAATAACTGCTACTAAAAACTAGGGCTGTCATCAATTATCTTAGATGATCATATGAACTGTAATTCAACCAATTAAATCTGCATATGTTGGCACATTAATATAACAATGGTTTTATCAAATAAATGTTATAGCAGGAACCTTTAAAAAGAGGCATTCCCTCCAGGGAGAGAGACCGAGAAAGAGAATGTTTCTTCCCCATTTGCAACTGAATGAAAAATGCCCTTTTAAACATTTAAGATCTGCTTTCCATGTAATTGTGGCACCTTTCCAGCCAATTTAATACATTCTGTTAATTCAACCAATAAATTTACTAAATGTGGGAGCCCAAAGTAAAACATCTACACTTTACAAACACACCAGATCTTCAATGTAACCACACGGAGAACTCCAACAAAATAAGAATGGGATTAACCTACGTCATGTGCCCTCTCACCAGAAGTGCTGTGCAATGACTTCTGCTTGTGCAATGGGGCTTCCCTCCTCTTCCCATATGCCCCCTGAAATGGGCTCAGGAAAACAGAACAGCATGCCGGGGGGAAGGGGGGTGTCATTCCATCTGGCAAGCAGCATTCAGAATGTCTGGAATAGCATGGTGATGCAATCCACCCTAGGACTATAGTACTAGATTCATTTGACAAAGTGTGAATGAAAGCTTGGGCCGTACTAAATGCGTAAGCATGTTAAGGTGACCTCAGTATCTGGAGTATGTGGAAAGCATATCATGATGCAGCATGGGATGCTGTACTTCAAAGAAACTTATTCAAAGAAAGCAATCAGAAGTCCTGACGGGCATTCACAATTCCTTAGGTAAAGGTAAAGGTGCGCCTGACCATTAGGTCCAGTCGTGACCGACTCTGGGGTTGCGGCGCTCATCTCGCTCTATGGGCCAAGGGAGCCGGCGTTTGTCCGCAGACAGCTTCTGAATCATGTGGCCAGCATGACTAAGCCACTTCTGGCGAACCAGAGCAGTGCACGGAAACGCCGTTTACCTTCCCGCCGGAGCGGTACCTATTTATCTACTAGCACTTTGACGTGCTTTCGAACTGCTAGATTGGCAGGAGCTGGGACCGAGCAACAGGAGCTCACCCCATGGTGGGGATTCGAACCGCCTACCTTCTGATCAGCAAGTCCTAGGCTCTGTGGTTTAACCCACAGTGCCACCCGCGTACAATTCCTTAGGCACACCTAAGAGAACTCTGGATTGTAGCTGATGATAAGCAACTGCCAATGTGACTTGGCTCTGAAAAGGAAAGCATGCACCTTGCAACTCTTGTTCAGGAAATCATTTGGCCTCTCTCCTCTGTCAAGATGGTATCTGAACTTCCCTCAAGCTCTAGCTGGCTTCCAGCCCAGTACTACAATTGGCCATGTTGTCCTTTATTTACCTCCTGTGACTGACCATCTGCCTTGGATACAGTCCTAAGAAACCAACACGGAAGAGATGACTCTTCCAGACCTCAGCACACCATGTCACATACCCACTTCCTGTCCAACTCCCAACACCAACTGTCTTATGAGAGTCTCAACCCCTTTCCTGAAGACAGAGTCAGCACTCAAAAAGCAGCAGCATTCTAGTTACTGCAGCTCAAATACAGATAGTGTAGTTCCGACCTAGTATAATCAGGCAGGGAGACCTTAGGTAAGTACCGCAAGGGAAAAAAAAAGTTATAAACCACTTATACTATCATCATATATATTTGATTTATTGGGGGGGGGGGTGTATAGCGCTGTGCCTATATTTAATCAACCTTTACTCACTGATATGTATTTTCTCACCTGTCTTCCATTATTTCCCTGACTGCAGCAACACTTGGTCCCGTTCCAAGGTGTGTATAATATGGCCCTTCATCCTTCTCTATAATTTGCTCTACAGAAATAATTAAAAATAGCTGTTAACATTATTTCATGTACCGAGTACACACATACAGTTGTGGGTTTTTTTAAAAAAGAGGAGAAAGATAAACATACACAGTAAAATATTTATTAGGCATGTCATACACTCCAGGCTGGAGTTAAAAGACTTGGTGGATCTCCAAGTCTGAGAAGGCTGAGGAATATTGATGGGATTAACAGTGGGGCCTTTATCAAAACAGAAATGCTATGGAATCTTTTGAAAATGTTCACATTTTGAACTAGAGTCAAGTTTATTATTGTTAACTGGCTTATCATTAATATAATACTTCATTCCCTTTCAGATACTGAAGAACAGGAGCCAAATGCATATATACACATCAAAAAACTGGGGGCGTCCAATACACGGATAGTGGCATGGGGGGGGGAGCGCTGCGCCGCCAGCCAGCTTGTTGGTGGGAGCGCGGCTTCCCCCGATGGTGCAGCGAGAGGGGAGCAATCTGGAGGGTGTTTCCTGCCTATGGGTAGGGGGGTGGGTGGAGAGAAGCTGTGCGCCACCAGCCACCTGCACGGGAGCACAAATTCCCCCAATGCCGCGGTGCACAGCGGGCGGTCCCTGGGTCGTTTCCTGTGCACGGCGGCATCAGGGGAGGTTGCGCTCCCAACTGGATGGCTGGCGGGAGTGCAACTTCCCCCAATGCCGCTGCACACGGGAAATGATCTAGGGAGTGTTTCCTGCCCGCAGCTGCGTGGGGGGAGCGGTTCAACAACTATGGGCCATCTCCCCTCATTTTCCTAAAATTGACTCCCCAAAAATATGGGGGGGGGGCCTTATACATGAGGGCATCTTATAGACAGAAAAATACGGTAAATAACATACTGCTTTTACCAAGGACACATTGGAATTCAATGAGACAACCAAAGAGAGCAGTGATAAAGATATCCCCCCCTGTATTATTTATAAAGGTTGTTATTCCCTAATTCTCAACAAACCAACAAAACAATTTTCCTCCCTGTTTGTTGCAGAGAAACAGGAAGTCAGCAATTCCCTGAAGTGCAGGGCTGAATAAGTATTTTCAACTGATAACATCAACTCTTTAGGTAACTGGAAATTCTTCCACTACTGTTGGAAGTCACAGCCAGATGGTAAATTCAGGTAATCAAGCAGTTACTTGATTAGTATATGGAGTGATATAGAGTCATCTTTTCACTTATGTGGTGGAGACTTGGAGACTCACTTCATCAGAGCAGGCAAGAGGCAACGTTTGCAAGATAAAAATTCTAAAGGAATCCTCAGTGAGAAAACTTTCAGAACTCTATGCAAAATGAACCAAATTACACTTACCAACACAATCACAGCTTGGAAAATCAGTCTGTCCTTTCTTTGTAGGTGTATCGATTAGGTTCTTTGTAGGGGTGTCCAAGAACTTCATAGGCGATTCAAGAAAACTACTGAGTGTATTCTTTGTTGGAGAACACCCTAAGATCCCTGTTCTCTGTGTGTTCTCAGTCTCCAAGCTTCTTGATGTTGGAACTGTAACTTCACTTGCACACTCTGCTTTCCTGAGAGCCTGCAAGGTTTCCCCTGGGGAGGCTAAGCTACAGTTAATGGACATGGTTTGCAATTTCTGGCCCATTTGTTGTTCCATAGCACCGCACTCAAGTTTTGCTTGGTTTTCCTTGCACATTTCATCTGCTCTTTGACCAAAGATCTGAGGCAAAGGATGCATTTGAGCCATGTTCATTGTTTGCTGTACCTGAGAATTCTTGTCTTTTTCTGTAAACATCTGTACATTTTCACTTCCTTGGTTCAAACAGGATTTTGCTTCGAAGTGAGGGACAGTCAGAAGACTATTGGAGAGTAGGCCACTATGGTGCAGAGCATCTGGGGCAGCACCTGGAGGATTAGTGCCCCGTGCCTCATTGGAGCCCATAGTTTTTATGTGCTCAGGCACCATTTCAAAGCCAAACAAATTGTCTTTCACTTTGTCTTGTGTTGAAGCAGGCAAAGGCCTGTGGTATATTATTTGAGTTTTGGGAAGAAATAATGCAGCTGCTTTTTGTTGTGATGACAAAGTATTCCGATTCCATGCCTTCTGTACTTTGGCTTTAGAAGATCTTTTCCCCAAAGCAGTTAGTTTCGAATCCTGTGACGCGTTACGACCAACCTTGCGTAGTTTAGAAGGCTTTTTCGGTATGTCCTGTAATTCACTAAGATGGCAATCTTGTTGTAGCTGATTTTGTTGGTCAGGCATTACTTGAGGCTTCTTTTTTAATCTTTTTGCCCTTGGTACTGGTTTTTCATTTTTCCGTGTTGGTTGCCTTTGCTTGACTAATAATGGACTATAATTGTTCCTTACAAATACAGATTGTTTCTTCTGCAATAGGCACTGGTCCTGTTTATGTTTTGGTTGCATATCGGGTGGTATTCGACTGAGAAGCGATGTCTTCTGGTCTGGGCTTGCTTTGCTTGATTCAATTATTGCTGCAAGTTGAGTTAATTGGGTGGCTACCTCTTCCTCATCCTGGCTATGAATATTTCCCCTAAATACAGAATTACTTTTTGAATTTGAGCCATGAACAGCCTTCCCCTCCCACTTTCCAAGCATGTCTACTCTGCTCCTCCGCTGTTTGACAACACTTGAGATTTTGGAGCATGGCCCAATGGCAGCTTTATGATAAAGAGGGTGTTTCTTGGTAGTATGACCTGAAGTTCCACCAGACACTAACGCAGATAAAGACTTGGTATCTCGTGGGGAGAAATGTAGCCTACGCAATAAGCTAGATGGACCAGTGGTTTTACTGGGGAATTCAGAAATAGCACCTTGACCATTGTAAAGCAAACTCTTAGGAAAGATTCTTCTCTGTGAAGCACCATGAGAAAAGAGCTGCTGGTCTTTCTGTGGACAAGCCCCTTTGATTGCTATCAATGCAGATGACGTCAAGGGACTTTTAGGAAGGGTTCTTCTCTGCAAAGGAGCATGAGGAAAGAGCTGCTGGTCCTTCTGTGGACAACTTCCTTTGATTACTTTCAATGCAGATGATGTCAAGAAACATGAATTATCCTTTTTGTAATTGTTAAGTGAATGTGAACTTTGCTCTTCTATGCACTGAACTCTTTCTGGTTTAGCTGGTAAGGGAGCTCCTGGAGGGACTTCCGACAAGCGTGTCAATGCCTCAATAGCTACAACCTGTTCTACAGTTAAATTTCGGTTTTTAATCAAAGATAAAAAAGTTGACTGAAGTGACAAATCTTCAGGTTGCAAATCTTTGCTTGGAGCACCATTTGAAGCACCATCATCAAGGCAGCCATCTTTGTCATGCACGGGAGTGCAAGATGGCTTGTCCTGAAGATCTAAAAGTGAAATAGTTTGTAAAAGTGAGTTCTCAGATTCCTGAATGGCATTAGAGTTTTCTGTCTGCTGCGCTAGAACGCGATCCTTCTTTTCTGGAAGAGCACCACATGTTCCAGTTGTCAAAGTGCTGATATTGTTCAGTTGAGCAGCGCAACCCAAAGAGGCATCCAAGTTGCTTTCTGGGCAGCTGTTTGCCGGATCAGCACCTGTTTTTTTCAGCAACAAGTCACATTCTGCTGGTGAATAAGGAATGCTTTTAATGCCATTTCTAACAGTTTGTGCAAGCAACTTTTTGGGGTCATCTAACACGTTGGAAGAATGAACAGCTTTTGGATCCTTTTCAAAATGTTTCGAGTTCTCATTCCTTGCTCTAGCTCTACAGAGGTCACCGTTCACATGGACGCTAAGTGATGGCTTCTCATTCTGTGCCCACTTCTCCGTTTCTAAGCCAGTCATACTTCCCTTTTCATCTGCCTGTACATTTTCCCAAGGCAGCAAATGGCTTGGTTTCACCTTGGGTTTTTCGCCATGGCCGTGGGCAACACAGTCCATGAGCTCTGGTCTGCAGCCATTGACTGGTTTGTTTTCTAAGTCTCCCTGAAAAACAACACAAAAATAGTTTTAGCCAATACTGTTATTCCTGAATATACAGATGCATCGGAACTACCCTAATTAACCTTTTTATGGGCAAAAGTATTTACGCATCAGCAGTGCAACACTGTAGCAGCGGTAGTGTGAGAATGCAGCCCAAAGGAAGGTGCCTGCTTCCAAATAAAGGAGATTTTTCAAGGATGGAGGTACCAATTCAGTGATTTCCACTGAAATAAAAATTATGTGTGTGAGGAAAAAAGTTTAGGAGAAGGTTATATAAAGTTTTGGTTTTTCCCAATATAGAGAGAGTATACAGTAACTGTAGGTAACACTTGCACCCCGAAGCCTAACTTTTGCCTAACTGAATGTGTGTCTTGGAGTTGGTTCAGTGGTCTGTGACTGAGGAAACAGTGTATACATATTATCAGGAAAAGGGAAGAGGTGGACTACAAGGTATGTTGAGGAATATTCCACCTTATCAATTCTACATTTGAGAGCTATTCAAACATCAGAATATTGCCTTTACCAAACATCTTATTATGAATATTGGAGTACAAACTCATCCACATTTTTCTATAATGAACAATAATCTGCCTTTTGCCATTTTAAAGTTTTATTACACTATTGTAAATTCTTCATCGGCCACATATAATGGGGTAGAAATTTTACTGGAAACAAATATCATCAACCAGAGTCCTTTTAAGTGGACAGGTCAGCTAATACTGTACATTCTGAAGCTTTGGTGCTTTTTTCTGGAGATGGAAAGAGAAGTCTGGATTTCAGACTTGCAACAAAGACCAAATCAACTTTGGGACCACACTGCATATTGTCACAGGTATGGAACTGCATTATTTGCAAAGGGAAGGAAAGGGGGTTGACTTCTGCTATATAAAACGTGAAGAGGTAAAACACCAGTATACTGAGTCATACAGAGATTTACCTTCACCTATTAAAAAAATTAACATAAATGGTTTTCATACCACAGCCTACATTCCAATTTATCTTGGAGTAGTAAAATGCCCCTAACCAAGGGTGAAATATCTGGGTAGGTCTGTTTTCCCCAAATCAGTTTTTGTTTGAAAAACCCCACGGAACGTTCTTTTATCCCAATATGTTAACGTTAGCTAGGACAAATAAGCACACCAGTGGCAAAAATCAATCAATTCCTTTTTGTCCCAGGCTCTTTAAGTGTACAGAAAGAAAAATAGAAGTAAAGTAGTTAAAATTTGGGGGACATTGGTTTGCTGCTGTGCAGGTGACATAGTGCTTAGCTGGGGGTGCTTTCTATGAATGGGATATTATCAGGGTGATAAGAATGATAGTATGGAAATGTGGCACACAAAGGGCAAAGGCCAAAGCTCAGTGGCAGAGATGTGCATGCATAAGATCCCACATTAAACCTCCAGCATCACCAGGTAAGGCTGGGAGAAATACCTGCCTGAAACCCTGGAAAGCCACTGCCTGTTAGTGTACAGAACAATGCTGAGTTAGATGAACCAATGGTCCAATCAGGTATAGGGCAGCTACCTAAGTTGCAACACATAAACACTTGAAGTATATTTATGCAGCAGGAACATAGAAGACAGACTTACTGCTGGGGACAGTTGTCTAGGACCAAAAACGCTATGTTTCCAAGTGCCGTAAAGCTTTCAGTGGTGATATTCCCGAAGGTTCGCATTCCTTAAAAGTGTTTCCTGAAAAGGCGGAAGCTCTGTACTACAGATCCCCCACCCCCAATTTTTATTCATTTTTGTATGTCATCTCTAGCTTTGACCCAGGAACAGGATGAAACTGAGCCCGAAAGCCGAAGTAAAACAGCAGTTTCAACACTTGCTCCAGCCTGCGCTGTTGCTGTAGAAACAAAGAATCAGCTTCCCTGAAGATTGTGCCTGAAAAGCAAGGAGCTCCAGGAATACCCTTTATGCCCCCACAGCCAACCTCTTCCCAACCCCAACTCACTGTTTTAGGCTCCAAGCCCAACTCTGCATTGCTCCCTGCTACTTCATCACTCCATCCGACTCAAAGTGGGAGAAGGTCAAAAGGGTATGAACCCAGTTCAGCTTGCCTGCTGCCAGGATGCCAACCTGGTCCATGGGTGCTGGTGCTTCTTTCAAGCAACACTGTTGCATCCAAGGGCTTTCAGTTTTATTTCCCCTCAGCCGCTGGCTGATGATGTGCACAAACAGCCGGCTGATGCTGCGACTACTGCCGTCACTGATTCCGTTCCCCCCAGCAACACCAGCAGCCAGTGTCTGGGCTGGTCCTCCACTGTAGCGTAACAGCAGCCAGGAGCCCAGCACTCACTGAGCTGGAGTTAACTCCTTGCAGGCCAGATACAAGTACAGGGAGGCAGAATGAACAAAGAAAAGCTGCCTCCAGTACAGAGGCAGGCAGGCGGAAAGTCTTGCTATGTATTAAAACAGCTGTAAAGTCAAATGCAGCCAGTTTGCAAAACAGTGTTGCGTATAAAACTATTCAAGTCTGCTCCTTGTCAATCACCCACTTCCCCTGCACCTCAACTTCTATATCAAACTGAAACAGATGCTAATCTGCAGGTTCACATGCAGAAAGTCCCAGCACATCAGAGTACCCTAAAAAAGATGGAAGGGAAATCAAGCCAAGAAAAAAACATGTTATGTTTTGCAACAAGCTGAGCTTATCGCCTAATTCTCTGCATCCAAAAATGGAGCGGGCTGGCTCACAAGAGGTGCATTAAGTCCAAAGCAAGCTATTCAAGCAATGGTTACAAGTGCATTTGAACCAGGGGTATCAAAGCACGAAAGGGTAGATTGAAGAAAGTTCTCCTCTTTGACCCAAACTTCATTCAAATTGGCCACATGCTCATGCTGCAGTCTAGACTTCATCTGAAGTGACATTCTCACTATAGCTACGAGTCGCTGCAATACAGTTCCATTCTGCACAAATCAGCAGTGGCAGCGCCGTAAGAAAAAGGATTGCAGCCTTCTTTTTAAAATGTGTAGTTTATGACTCTGGTACATTTTGCATGCAAAAAGTGCCTTTCTTTCAAATATGCTCAAGGTGCCAGAAATTGGCAGAGGGGGAATGCAAGCTACTTGTCTCAGAAAGCGCAGGCCCCTCTTGGCCTCTGCCCCCCTTTAGTGTGATGTATACTGCTCAGGTAATATGTGAAGCTCCTCTGGGTCCCATGGAGGAACCACTGCTCCTCTCTACTCTGATAGGAAACAAGAATGACATGTGAAATAGCTCCAGCGTGGCACAGCTCAAAGGGTGCAGGAACAAGCTATGCTACAGTGTCACCTGAGAAAGAGCCCAGCCTTTAAGGTCTAATAAATCCTTGTTTTGAATGGTAGTTTCCCATTGGTACCCACCCCCTACCCACTAACCCTGAGCTATATCCCTGGCTTCAGACCTCAGTCTGCCCTGCCACCCCACAAATCTTAATTGAAAAGAAGGCAACTGAGTTCAACCATCCACAAAGCATTGCTTCCACTACCTGCCTCACACATGGTACACACCATGGAAGGTATTAGTACTGTTTGAAATAGTCATTTAAGTTCAACTTGAATGCCAAAGTCTCCTGCAGCTATCATGGGAGTTGCTTTGTTGTTTTTATGGTGTACTGTATGTTTTAAATGTGTTGTAAGTCACTTGGAGACGTCTGGGTAACAACCAACTGGCAAGTCTAATAAATAACAGCAACAACCTCAGTCCTGAGTGTTCCTGGGCTATTCCTGCCCTATCTTATCTGTCCCAGTTATGGCTCTGTTAGGGTGGGAGCAGGAGAGTGCTTGTGACTTCTGGCCAACACATTACATTTGTTTCAAGATTAAAGCTAAAATGTCCTTTTTCTTAAACTCAAAACACACTGTTCACTCTATGCTTCCTCAAACTATCATATTTGAATCTTTGTCCCTCCATTCTTCCCACTGCAGACCAGGGGTATCCAACATGGTGTTCTCTCCAGATGTTGTTGGACTCTCAACATTCCTGACTCTTGGCAACACTAGCTGGGGCTGATGAGAGTTAGTTCAACAACATCTGGAGGGCACCATGTTGCTCTATGCTACTCTAGACCTTATTTAAACGGGATAGGCTCAAACAGAAAACAGTATTGCTTTATCAGATCCCTCTTTCTCTCTAAATAAACTTTAAGTGAACCCCCTCCCACCCCAAGAAGTGAACAACCAGAGACTGGGAGGGTAATTGCAATTATTTTGTTATCTGCAAATAGAGAGAGGGGACGTCTGCTTACTGTTCTTGGTGCCACCCATTATGAAAACTCAACAAAGTAATACTTTTCTTAAAACAACAACTAAAACAATCTTGATCAAACTGAAGAGTCCAAATGATAAAGAGGCAACTAGTCTCCTGCTGGGAGAGAGCTTCAGCGGATTGTTAAGTATATTTATATTGTAAACCACCCCACAATCCTCGGATAAAAGGTGGTATATAATTTAATAAACAAACAAATGAAATGAAAGTTACCAAGCAGTATTATACCAACGATTTATAGCTTTTGTTAATGCACAGGGGAAGCAGCAAATGAATGGTCAGTTATCCATTACTGTGGTACCTGGGGTTAAGTACTTAATTCGTTCCGGAGGTCCGTTCTTAACATGAAACTGTTTTTAACCTGAAGCACCACTTTAGCTAATGGGGCCTCCTGCTGCCGCCGCACCACCAGAGCACGATTTCTGTTCTCATCCTGAAGCAAAGTTCTTAACCCGAGGTAATATTTCTGGGTTAGCGGAGTCTGCAAGCTGAAGCGTATGTGACTTGAAGCGTATGTAACCCGAGGTACCACTGTATTGGATTCTGGCCAAACCCTACCAGTCATACAGCCAGGTCTCGGTATCAGGTATCAGGACATACAGTTATCCAGATGCTGCAAGAAAGTGTCTGTCTAGAATTGCAGGTACGGAAGAAAAGCGAGGGATCTGTAAATTCTAGAGCTATCATACAATTAATTACCTGCTGAAAACCGAGACCCTCTCCCAAAAATCTTGGTCAGAGTCATAGGCAAGGCTGACCTGCCCCTCAAGAGGTATGAAGCCAACTGGATTCTAGAACTCTCAAGAGGATAAATACATTGATCCTTATGGTTAACTTTCCAATGGCCTGACCAAGCTATCACACAACAAATTGGACTACAACGCATTGGCAATGTTTGTGGGTACCAATAGTCAACAGCCTTGGCTTAACAAACCACACAGTGCACACAACCTGCTAATTCCCACTTTGATGATCCCTTCACAAGAGATGGTAAAAACCACAAAAGGGATACCATTATCTGAACCTATGATAATTGTTTATCTCTCTCTAACAAGCCAAAATCACTAGCTAGCCTTAAAGCAAGGTTTGTCATTGGTTTATAAACTGTGTATTGCTAGGGAAAAACAAACCACAATTCCAGATTCAGATATAATGTGATGTTATGCCCTTCCTGGTTTGTTTACCTGCTCATTCAAAGAAAGGAGCAAAAAGTACACAACTCTGTACACAGTACACAGGCACTCTGCTTGTGCAAAGTATCGTTTGTTAAAGATAAACCAAGAACCTTGACTTATCATTATGTGTAAACATGGCCAGTGGCATGCAGGAATCATTTTCCATTTTTTTATTACGGCATATCTCCTTGCCTTGAAACCCAGAAACAAAAGGGGATATTTCAGCTAAATCTGTTATTTGGTTTTATTTTCAAAATGGCATTTTGAAGGCTATACTGAAATCTTCCTTGCCACTTACCAGTGCAATGCCATCCTGCTAACCAGCTCAGAATTATGAGAGGGCCTGTGAATCCAGGATTTCACCTTACAGAGATTAAGCCATCTACGACAGTTGGGATGGGTTTCCCCATCTATTTGGCAAGAACAAGTCACTTGCATTTGGTTCAGCCTGGGACTCCAAACTAAACTGCATTTGAGATGTCAAACTCAGTCTTGCTTGTTTTATTTGGATCAGTTTCAATTAGTCTCATTTACAGATGCAGAGGGCATACATTGGAGTGGGCCCATGAGCTACAAAACACAATTTGGATCCATGCCCATCCTAACAGATGAAAGCCAACAGGGCAATGCTGTGTTCCTTATTAGCTGGTATTACCAATGCACTGCTCAGGGAAAGCAGAATGCCAGATGGTCTCAAAGCTATACCTATTTGTACCCTGCTAAACAAACATGAAGACACAATGCTGCTCATTGACTGCTCTGCTTCCAGCTCTTTTTCCTTTATGGAAAAAGGCTGTTGAGTGGGCTGCCCAGCAGCTTCAGGCACATCAGAAAATCATTAATAGTAGTCAGAACTTTTACCCAGAGGGAACTAGAAGCTTTGTAGAGGAAACTAGTGGTAGATCTGGTCACATACACCTCCAGCAAGGGTTCCTTTACCCAAAGATACCCTTTATGTACCAAAGCATATTTAGTTTGCCTTACACCAGGAACGCATTATGAAAACTTCTGCCAGTTTGGTATCAGACGCAAACACAACTTAAAAAGCATGGGTCACCTACTGCATCCTTCCCTCTCTGCTTCCTATTCCTTAGCCATTTACAGATACATGAGAAGATAATCTCCGACTACTGGCCATGTTGGGTGGAGCTGATGGGAGTTGTAATCCAGCAATATCTGGAGGGTACCACATCAGCAACGCCTAGAATAACCTCAGATCCACAAAGGATGCTGTTTCGCAGTAATCAGCAAAATGTTAAGAATAGCAAATAACAGAATGACGATCCTTTGCAAAAGAATTTTTAATTAAATTAGGGCTAATCATTCAGGTCTTGCTACAAATACACAAAGTATTTTGTAGATCCAGTGGAAGCTTATCAAAACTGTGAGGCCACATAGGATCTTTAGTGCAGAAATTCAAGTTTATAAACAGCATGTTATTATGGTGAGCTATTAAAAGAACAAAGTCAAATGAAGGCGTTCCTTCCTCTTCCTTCAGCTCTACCTCGAAAACTACCACCCAGGTGTTTTAACATCTAACACAGGGAACACAGTGAGAGTTTAGAGCAGTGTGGATGTCCTGGTTCCCACCCTTGGATGAAATACTCTTAGATAGGGAAATCCCAAAAACTTTAGTGATAAAACCATGGCCTCATCATCAGGTCTACTAACCAGACTTTGAAATTAGCAGGGCACCAGGCACATTTTGTACCTAAAGATTCTCCATTTGCGAACACCTCAAAAAGTCTGGGTGCCATTTTTTGCACCTGGCTGACACTCAAGGCTTATGGAAATGTATGGGCTTTGAAGCCTCAAAGTATATGTTAAGGATAGGCAATATGTTAAGGAGTTTAACAATAAAGAGTAGTGTGTTTTGAAAACTGAAGTATGGTATCAAAAATTTTAATGTAAACACCAAATTAAACATGTATTAACAATTTATGTTTAAAATGTGATGTTAACAATGTGTAACTTAATAATAATAATAATAATAATAATAATAATAATAATTTATTATTTATACCCCGCCCATCTGGCTGAGTTTCCCCAGCCAATCAAGTGTTAAAAACAGTACAGCGTTACATATTAAAAACTTCCCTGAACATTATTATGTGAATTGTGTATTAGTTCATGCTCATCAAAATAATAAATAAAAAGTGTTGCCACCTCTCCCAAATGGTGACTAGACATTCTGTTTTGGTGCCCACAACCCAGGTCCTAGGAGCCATTTGGCTCCTATCTCAGTTTCTAACACTGCTATTAACGGTTTATAAACAGAGTTCTGGGATACCTGTCTAGGCATAACCAAAGATGTTGTCCCGACACTTGACACACCTCTCCTGCTCTGCTTTTAAAGAGAAGGACCACACAGTCACAAGCGACCGCTCCTGGTGGTGGCGGCGGCAGCTGCTGGGTCTGCTGGTGCATCCTTGGCAACAGGACCTGAGCCCAACCCTCAAACTCTCCCTATGTCTCCAACTCAGCTGCCTCTGCCAAATTACCAGCTGCCTCTTTCGCTACTCTGTACTCAGGAGATGGAGTAGGAACTCGTCCAGCTAACAACTCCCCCCTGTCCCTTACAAAAGCATCTCTACCTCAACCGCAGAGTTCTCATCCTCTGACAGATCCTGCCATTGCCACCCTGTCACAGCTGATGCCACAGGACTCATGACACCTGCCTCTGCCATCTACCCTGACCCAGCCTATTTTGAGCACCTGCTAATGTACCTACTATGGATGCAAAGTTGCTTAAAAAGAGAAGCAATAAGGAAAGTGCTCTTCACTGTCAAAAATCAACACTGTGGAGTCAGAGCACCATTCACCTCAACAAGGCAGCAAGCTGCTGCAAGAACTGGCACCTTTATGGCAAAGGCAAGGATCAGTTAACTTTTAACAGCAGGTCCTCTTTTACATAAGAATGTTATAGCCCAAAAGGGCAGGAGGCAGGTGGAGGGGCAAGGAGTGTTGAGAAAATAGTTGTTTGAACAGAGGTTACACACTTCTCCCGCATTACAGAATCACAGAACTGTAGAGTTGGAGGGGACCCCGAGAGTCATCTAGTCCAACCCCCGCAATGCAGGAATCTCAACCACAGTCAATTATACTTGCAATTTGCCTACTTGCCTGTGACAAGTAGCCATTGCCCTGAGCAGATAACCAAATAATAAACTGCACCTGCCCAATGTGGGGCACTTGCCAGAAAAGGCTACACATACAGCTTCCACAGTACAGTATCACATTACAGTGGCAACACACATAGCAGAACCAGCAGCCCTAGGAACCAGAGGGAACATAGTTCCACAAGGCTGCTAATACTACCTACAGTAGACACCTGTAAGGTGTTTGGGGAAGAGAGCTCTGAAAGGCTTGCCAAAGTCCTAAAACAGAGAGAGTCGGTAGGGAGGCTTGGTTCCCTTAACCAAGGGAAAAAAGGAAGCAAACATAGCTTACCAAGCTGACTGGCAGGTAAAGGGAAGTGAAGGAGTGGCTGGTAGCCCAAGAGAAGAAAGGCAAAGCTTGCCTCCCCCCGCAGCTTCCTAACAAAAAGGTCTATCAGCTCTTTAATATTACAGGATTATTCCAAGATGCCTCCACCAGTGTGGTGTAGTGGTTAGAGTGTCAGACTAGAACCTGGGAGAGCAGAGTTCAAATCCCCACTGAGTCCTGAAGCTCACTGGGTGACCTTGGGCCAGTCACTCTCTCTTTGCCTAACCTAACCTCACAGGGTTGTTGTGAGGCTAAAAGTGTGCATGCCACCTCAGGTTCCTTGGAGGAAAGGTAGGATAAAAGTATAAAAATACATAAAATAAATGTGAGCACACTGTTGCTTTGTAAGGTAGGACTGGGTCACCTCTACTCACAGCTTGGGCTCTTCCTGCCTCTTCTAGCCTTAAACGGCAGTCTGTGCTTGTATCCAGCTCATTGCTATCTCTGTGTTTAAATGGGCAACAAATGTCCAGCAGTGATAGAATCAAAACTACTAGGCAGAACAATAATTTGGATAATACTATCCTCACAATAATTGCATAGCTATTTTTGCAGATCAGCATCCCAAACACCCAATGTCATTTTTTGTTTCTAGGAGGAATTTTTTTTCCAAAAGTGTGTGAGAAGAGGGCAACTACAATATCAATAAATATAGAAAAGCTTTTTTAAAAAAACAACAACCAAAAATGAAATCAGTTATTTCTTCCTTCTTATGATGGCATCTGGAAAGACTGCAACATTAATTGGAAAAGTTTGGCAATATTGCAGTGCTGAAAGAGGAGAGACACTGGAAGGTTTTAGTCAGCAGATGTGTCCAAAGTTTGTTGCAACTGTTGGATGGGGAAAGACCAATCAGCAGCTCAGCTTTATATATTTTTCCCTACAACAAGATGCCACAGGGAAAATAACCAAGCAGGGCAACTTAGTGCCCCTACAGCAGCTGGTGTAGGCTGGGGATGATGAGAGTTCCAGTCCCAAAAAAATCCAGAACAGGTTACAGCAGGTTGGAGAAGCTGAACTTCATGGAGGCTCTGCTCTGAGATGCAGAACCATATATGCCACCTTCAGACATAAATGTAAAAATCAAATCAAAAGCATGAAGGACATTTTGAGCCCGGTTCTTCCAAAGATCACAGTTGTCTAAAAAATCAAGATATCATGTCCAATGCCATAAGTCCACAAGCACCTGTGCAGCACAAAGCAGGGACAAGTAATACACAACTTCTTGTTTGCTCAGGAAAACAGACTCAAATATTGAGAAAATGCCAGGAAAAGCAACAAGAATGTGTGTGCTCTATCTCTGCATGCAGCCCTTGCTCCTACAGTTTTAGCACCCTTCACAGGTCTGTTGCCCCCTCAAAAGACTGCTCTTTCTGCCCCTCTGCTTGGAATTACCACTAAGATGACCGCAGTGATGCCACCTCTTATTCTATTCAAATGCCTCCTTAAAACCTAAGTTTTCTGTGAAGCCTCTAGCTCAACACCCCACTTTCCCATACCCTACTGCAACTAAGCCTCTAAACAAGCCGAAGTACACAAAGCTGAAACAAAAGCACACTGCTTCCCTATCTGCCTCCCCTTCTCTCCCCCTTTCATTTCTCAGTTGTTTCTTCCATGTAAGATTTTAGGTTGTTAGCTCCTTGGGGCAGGGACCTATCCTCTTGCGCCCAGTGCAAGGATGGATGGCATTATATAAATATACAGTCATTCCACATGGGAAACAAAACATTTTGCTAACTTGCACTTTAAAACGCCACTCATACAAGAAACAAATAAAGCAGGAATAGAACCCAGTATTTATTTTAGACATTTCCTGCTTTTGCTTAGAATAGACCCACTTGTGTTTATAGAACCTAACAATACTGGCTCTGCTTCATCTGACACACGAAATAATGAATTATGAACAAACAACTGTGAGCACATCCAATGGAATATCTGTGAGGCTTTAAAAGATGAGACAAATTCATGGAGGACAAGACTAGAAACAGCTACTAGTTATGATGCCTACCTTTCTACCTCCACTGTCAAAGGTAATATGCCTCTGAATACCAGCTGCTGGGATCTGCAGGTGGGCAGACTGCTGTTGCACTCAGGTCCTGCTTTCAAGGCTTCCCAGACATATGGTTGGGCACTGTCAGAACAGGATGCTGGAGTAGATGGGCCACTGGCCTGATCCAGCAGGCTTGTCTTATGTGCTTATGAGAATCAACTGAATTTTAAAGCAAACGTATGAAGTCGTAGTACTCCATTAGAACTGCGCCTGCTATTATGGATTCTAGATCTCGCTTACTGTTCCTGCTTTTTAACTCCCGCTGTGCAGTTGGCCTCAACAACCTCTTTTCCAAAAGTAGATTTGGCACTTTTAGAACTTACTGAAATGACACGGGACTGTGCCACTTCATCAGCTATTATCTTGTTTATCTGATCATTTTCTGATTTGAGTGCCCTCTGTACTAATAAATATAACTCTCATCCTATCCCAGTATGCCACCATATTTGACTTGTTACATTTCACCAGGCTTAGGCAAACTCAGCCCTCCAGATGTTTTGGGATACAACGCCCATCATCCCTGACCACTGGTCCTGTTAGCTAGGGATGATGGGAGTTGTAGTCCCAAAATATCTGGAGGGCCGAGTTTGCCTATGCCTGCATTTGACCATCCAGTTCATTTAAGTTACAGAAACATTGTACGTCATGTAGGGCCAACTCACACATTTAAGGCTGAGGTATCCACCCAGCAGCATTACTACCCATTTTCTCCCACATGGAGCCATTGTTAAAGAAAACACTCCAATATGGAAATTACACAAGTTAAGGGAAGTTAAAACAATGCAATGACTTCATCAGCTCAGATATCAAAATATGAGTGAATCCCAAGACCAGTGATACCAGGTTATATCCCAAACAATTTCATTCAATTTGTTGAAGGAGGGAACTGTAATACACCACTCTACAAGGGTTTAGCAAATTTGTCCCAGGCAGAAACTGAGTTTTTAAATCCTGCCTGCTAAGTATTTAGATCAATGAATCAGATGCACAACACAAGTTAGTCTTATTCTAAGCAAAGGAAGCCATATTGGTCTGAGAAAAGGCTTGGTCATTATTTTAGGATGCTTCAATTGGCCCTAATAAAAGTGTTGCCCAACTGCAGGTTCTTGACTTCACACCAAATGCTAAGCATAGCTTAGTATGCGGAAAGCAAACATCAAAGTGTACTTTATTGCATATTTCTATGCATCTGTTGTGCCTCTTAAAAACTGGTGGATGATACACTGCCTCTGCCATTAGCTGCTTTTGCAAAAAGCCACACATCTCATATCATTGTATTGAAGTAAATGTTACTTTTGGTGGATTTCATTGAAGCTGTATACAGATATTGAATTAGTAACCCAGCAAGATGGGCAGCATATAAATATAATAATAATTATTATTAATTTACCAATAACCTTTATTAGATATGCCTTTTTCTTTCTATAACCATCTGCCTATTTTAAGTTACACAATTATATTAAGAAGCAATGCACTAGTAGCGCTTTGTGAACTGGTTATTTGATGGATAACTTTCTCAACTGTTCTTGAAGGTAGGAAGGAAATGTCAGTTGTAGGGCTTAAGGGAACTATTTTATATTTTTCAAAACATGTATGTTTAACTTTTCTGTATGCTTCTGGCAACATAACATAGAAAACTCTTTCAAGGATGGAGGGGGAGGGCAGAGAGCGACAGCTTTTAGCGATTCACATTGTAAGCTCATTTGAACCACTAATTTACTGCAGCATAAATCAGATACCATCTCTACACTTGACCCCACGTCCCTCCAATTCACTGTGTGACACCGAAACCTCTGCTTTGCTCCTTAGAATCTCCAATTCACTTAGCCCTCTTGGAGAAGTTTAATCATCGTTTGAGATTATCTAGAGGGCATAAGCTAAATCCAACTCCTGGGTAGCATTCTTATACAGTGTATATTAATAAATGAAGTGCTGCCTCCATGGACACCTATATCCCATAAGTAATTGTAGAATGATACCTTCACCTAGCTTCATGATGATTCTGTTCCTAGTTACATTGTCTTTCTGACCTGACAGCTTGTTCTCATCTCTTCCATACCTGCCACTGCTCGACAGGTGTGATCTTGTTAGTATTCCTTTCATATTAAGAGGAATCTCCAATCCTCACACATCTATTATCCACTGCCAACACACTGATTTAATTCTAAACTTGCCAAGGGCTAGTCAGTACGATGGATGGTATTTTCTTTCCAATACAAAATTCCCCTTCATTCCTCCAACCTCTTGAGTTCCCTCTCTGTCTGCTCCACCTTCTTGCTTCTATGTTCTCCAATGTAACAGAGGACCTTTGCAGACACAAGTGTCACGGCCCAATGAGCACCATTAGCTCAGCTACGGACAGCTGCTAAGTGCTATGGGGGACTTTGGATGGTGCCGTAAGCATTAAATCCTTAAGTCGCCAACAGTAAAGTTTCTTAAAAATCACTTTTACTATTTTACATATGGCAACTAAATGCCACAAACTGGTTTGTTAGGAGCAGACGTTTTCTACATGTTTGTGAGATATATTAGTGGTTTATTACCGTATTTTTCACTCTATAACACGCACCCGACCATAACACACACATAGTTTTTAGAGGAGGAAAATCCGTAGGCATGCCACCCGTAGGCATTCCCTCCATAACACGCACAGACATTTCCCCTTACTTTTTAGGAGGAAAAAAGTGAGTGTTATGGTGCAAAAAATACGGTAATTTACATTGGAAGCATTGTATAGGGTGGCCAATAAACTATTGAGAATTTGTGAAGTCCATTAAAGTGTAAATCGGTAATAACCCTTGAAATTTGGAAGGGAAAATTCCACAGCTATCTGTACTGTATACCTCAAAGTCTGAAACCTGCCAAAAGCAAGCTAACCGATTATCTTTGAGTATTTAGGAAAAAGCATTTGCGTCTGAAAGCATTACTTATTCGTTTGGATTTTTTTAAGTGGCTTTTTAAAAAATACCTAAAAACCCCACCCTGAAACAGGGTACACCTAATAATCAGCACAGATCATTAACATGACTAGTGGCATGCTATGACCACCTCTAAAATAACAGAAATTGAACAGCATGTTTGTGAGATAGATAATACAATATGTAGTTTTAAAATCAGACTTTCCTTTTTAAAAAAAGTTAAGATGCCCTACAACAGGGGTCAGCAACCTTTTTCAACCGTGGGCCTGTCCACCATCCCTCAGACCATGTGGTGGGCAGGACTATATTTTTTTGGGGGGGGATGAACCAATTCCTACGCCCCACAAATAACCCAGAGATGCATTTTAAATAAAAGCACACATTCTACTCATGTAAAAACACGCCGATTCCCAGACTGTCCATGGGCTGGATTGAGAAGGCGATTGGGCTGCATCCGGCTCACGGGCCTTAGGTTGCCTACACCTGCCCTACAATATGCGTGCACAACAGAAACACCCAACCACATATATCCCATTGAAGAACATTTTTTAAATCCCCACTAATGTATTGTGATGGGATGATGAGCTGCTTGTGCGTAAAATCGTATCCCCTCAGAGTTTGTTCAAGTCCACAAACCTCTGTCTGTGACGGAGCCCCTCAGACATGGCTACTCTAGTCACTAGCAGATTCCGACAGTGGTTGCTTTCGTAATCGCTTCCAACATAAAAGCTCCTTAACGGAAACACGTCTTCTGGAATCTCTGCGTGACAGTTTCCGGCGAGGAGTGGGTGTTCTTACAGGAGGTCCTGAAACTTCCCCACTGTTTTCGCTGGAAGTGTCTCTGAGCCATCCCTCCAGCTCAGCTCCTCTCCCCCTGCTGGTTCCCTCTTCAGCTGCTGCGTCTCTCCCAACCTGTGTGAGCCCTTTCACCTCCCTGTTGGTTCCCTCTTCAGCTGCTGCGTCTCTCCCAACCTGTGTGAGCCCTTTCACCTCCCTTCCGTCCGATGGCAGTTCCCTGACATCCACCTCCCCTCCAGGGCCCCCTTCACCCCCTCTCGCCCCCTCCTCTACGGGCGGTGAGGAGGCAAAACCCGGAATGAACTTCCTTCATCTTCCGATGTCTCGAACACTTCTCTCAACCTGTTGCGGTTCCTGGTCTCGAAGTACACCTCCTCCTCAGAGTCCATCTCCCCTTCCCCTTCCGAGTCCGGGAATCCTTCCAACTCCTCCCTTCATCAGTGGTCCCAAAGTATTCCCTCCGGAACCTCTCCACAGGCTGAGGTTTCCTTGGGAACCTTTGATGGAACGTTTCTATCAATACCTCGTCATTGATATCTTCAGCCATTACCCAAGTGTTTTCTGACTCCGGTTCTCCTTCCCACGCTACCAAATACTCCACCTGATCCCCCTTCCACCTGGCGTCGAGGATTTCTGCCACATGGCTGCTGCATTCTCTTTCTTCTACGACCGGTCCCCGAGGGGCCAGCCCTTCTCGTCCTCCTTCGTACGGTGACAGTAACGACCTGTGAAATACTGGGTGCAGTTTCATGTGGTTGGGTAACCGGAGCCTGAAAGCCACTGGGTTGACCTGTTGAATGACCTCAAAGGGACCCAACCTCCTGGGTCTTAATTTCTTACAACCTCCTTTGAACGGCAACCCTTGGGTTGACAGCCACACCCTATCTCCCACCCTTATGGTTTCACCTTCCCTTCGGTTCTTGTCTGCCTGCCTCTTGTATTCTTCCTTCGCCCTTTCTAAGTTGAGTTGGAGCTGACGATGGATTGCTTCCATTTCTTCCACAAAATGCTCGGCTGCCGGGACGCTCCATCTCTCCCCTCTCCCCTGGGAAAGCCCTGGGATGACACCCATAATTAGCCAAGAAGGGGCTCATCCCTGTGGACACATTCTCGGCATTGTTGTAGGCAAATTCCGCCAGCGCCAACTTTTCTACCCAGTCATTCTCTCTGTCATTGACATAACACCTCAGGTATTGCTGGAGGACACCGTTTGCTCTTTCCGCCTGCCCGTTGGTTTCAGGGTGCCGGGCAGTCGAAAAATTGACCTCCACCTGCAGTAAGCTCATGAGCTTCCTCCAGAACCTGGAAGTAAATTGTTTTCCTCGGTCTGAGACCACCCTCAATGGCACCCCGTGCAACCTAAAAATGTTTTCTACAAATAACTTCGCTGTCTCTTCCGCCGTGACTGCATGCGAGCAAGCTACAAAGTGGCACATCTTTGTTAGTAGGTCTACCACCACCATGATGGCTGTTTTCCCTTTGGACTTCGGCAGATCAGTCATAAAATCTATCGACACTGCCTCCCAAGGTCGTTCTGGGGTTGGTAAGGGTTCTAATAGCCCCGCCGGCGCCCGCCTTTCCCCTTTGGCTCGCTGGCATTGCTCGCACCCTCTTACATACTCACGTACATCTTCCCTCACCTTAGGCCACCAAAATTCCCTGGTGACCAACCACATGGTTTTGTGTTGTCCAAAATGCCCCGCCGTAGGGCTGTCGTGCAACTGCTTGAGTACCCTCCCCTTAACTCTCCTTCAGGGATATACAGTGCCCCTTTGTAATACAAAGCTCCATTTCTTTCCTCAAAACCCCTGGTTCCTCTCCATCACCCCTAAGACCTCTGAGCTTATTCTGGGCGTATTCATCATTCTCTGTTTCCTCTACCAGTTCTCTTTGTCCCACCAATGCCGCCCCACACACCCAGCGGTCTTCTGGAATAACATGTCTCTCTTCGGGTGCCCCCTCCCCCTCCAAATATTCAGGTTTGCGTGAGAGAGCGTCCGCCCTAATGTTCTCTGGGCCTGGCACGTAACTAATCTCAAAGTTAAATTTGGAGAACTCCTGGGCCCATCTCACTTGCCGTTGGTTGAGCACTCGTGCCGTCCTCCAATACTCTAGGTTCTTGTGGTCAGTGCACACTTGCACCTTATGTTGTGCGCCAATTAGCAGGTGCCTCCATCTCCGGAACGCCTCATGAATGGCTAGTAGTTCTCGGTCATACACCGTGTAGTTCCTCTCGGATTTGTTCAGCTTTCGCGAAAAAAGGCACACGGTCTCCACTCTGACCCCTTCTTGCCTGGCTGCAGAAGCACCGCCCCAATCGCTCTGTCTGATGCGTCAGTTTCCACTCTCATCGGTTTTTGTAAATCCACATGCAGGAGTTGTTGTTCCGAGGCGAAGGCCCTTTTAGTTCCTCAAATGCTCGCTCCGCCTCCTCAGTCCACACGAACTTCTTCTTACTGCTGAGACAGTCCGTAATGGGCGCCGTCAGGTGGGCAAAGTTTCGGATGAACTTACGATAGAAGTTCCCAAATCCTAGGAACCTCTGCACATCCTTCTTTGTTTTGGGTGTTTTCCATTCCAGTACCGCCTGGACCTTGCCGGGATCCATGGCCAATCCCTTGTCTGACAGGCGATACCCCAGGAATTCCACCTCCTTGGTATGAAACTGACACTTCTCCAGTTTCACCCACAGCTGGTTGGCTTGCAGCCTGCTCAACACTTCTCTGACGTCTCTCACATGCTGCTCCTCATTCTCAGAATACACCAACACGTCGTCTAAAAGGCCACACAATTCTTGTAAAGCAAAGGCCCCAGGACGTGGTTCATAAATGATTGAAATGTTGCGGAGCCTGCTTGTAGGCCGAAGGGCATAACCAAATATTCAAATGCCCCTAAAGGGGTGAACATAGTGGTTTTCCATTCATCCCCCTTCCTTATTCGTACCAGGTTGTACGCCCCCCTTAGGTCCAGCTTTGTGAAAATCTTTCCCTTCCGCACCCTTGTCAAAATGTCGTCAATCCTGGGCATAGGGAAGGCTACTGGTTCTGACACTGCATTTAAGGCCCTGAAGTCACACACCAGCCTCGGCTTGTTGTTTTTTTTTTTTATCCACAACAAACCCTGGGCTGCCCCCCCCCGCCCTCGACTCTCTGATGAACCCTCTCTTCAGGTTCTTGTCAATGAACTCTCTTAACTCCTGCATCTCTCTGTCTGACATGGCGTACAGCTTGCCTACAGGGAGCTGTGCTCCAGGGAGTAAGTTGATTTGACAGTCAAAGGGTCTATGCTGGGGTAGTTGGTCAGCCTCCCTTTCGCTGAAGACGTCACGGAGATCTGCATATTGTCGTGGTACCTTCACGTTCTCTGTTACTTCAGTCCCTGCTAGGGTGGCTTGGACCCCTGCCAAACCCTTTCCCTCTTTGCAGTGTTCTAAGCAATGTGCTGAACCAAAAGAAACCACTCTCTGATGCCAGCCCACCAGCGGATCATGTAACGCTAGCCAGCTCATCCCCAATATAATGGGAGCTCCTCCCAAGGTGGCCACATTAAAAGCTATCAGTTCGGTGTGCCTTGCTACCTTCATTATCATTGGGACGGTCTGCAAGCTGACTTCTCCACCCAACAGCTCCCTGCCATCGATCGTGGTAACCTGCAGGGGGCTGCTTAAAGGATTGTCTGTATCTGGTGTTCAGCTGCAAACTCTTTGCTCATGAAATTGCAGGAGCTGCCTGAGTTCAACAGCGCCTTTATCTTTAGAGGGTGTCCGTTTGGCAGCTCTAGCGTCACTTCTATCACTAGGGCGGGTTTAGGAGGTTCTGGCGTGGGCACTCTCACTGCTCTTTGGCCTGGCTGCTGTGCCCTGACAGTGGCAGCCAGGCGTTGGCTTTTACTTGCTCCGGTATATTTTCCTCTCTTCCATCCACAGCTCCTACCATCCCTTGCCATTCTTCTCTGGGGCAGACTCTGCAAAGTGACCTGGCTGTTGGCAGAGATAGTACTTCCGCGCCTTTTCCTCCTTCTTGCCCCCTCACTGGGCTTTGAAACCGGCGCCGCGCTGTTCCGATTTCCATCGGCTCTGCTGTGGGAAAGTTGGTTTGAATGTCTGGAATGCGGAACCTCTTCCAACGCTCCCCTTCCTTCCCGCCTCCAATGCTCTCGCTCCTGGCGCGCTCCGCAGCCAGCGCTGATTTGGTCAGCTGGCCCACAGACTCCGCCCTGGGCGCCCCGGAAAGTTCGTCTTCACAGCCGAAGAAAGCCCTTCTTCAAAGAGCATTTGAATGGGTGCCGCCGATAAGTCCCACCCCCATCTGTGAACAAGCATGGTGAACTCAGTCCAGTACTCAAGGACTGATCGGCTCCCTGTTTGCAACCCACAACCCAGGCTTGGACCCGCCCTCCAGCTCCTAAGCCCGGTTCCGGCTGTTGCTCATGATGCCTTCTCCTGCACAAGCTGCTTTCAAAGACTGTCGGAATGCTGTGATGGGATGATGAGCTGCTTGTGCGTAAAATCGTATCCCCTCAGAGTTTGTTCAAGTCCACAAACCTCTGTCTGTGACGGAGCCCCTCAGACATGGCTACTCTAGTCACTAGCAGATTCCGACAGTGGTTGCTTTTGTAATCGCTTCCAACATAAAAGCTCCTTAACGGAAACCCGTCTTCTGGAATCTCTGCGTGACAGTTTCCGGCGAGGAGTGGGTGTTCTTACAGGAGGTCCTGAAACTTCCCACTGTTTTCGCTGGAAGTGTCTCTGAGCCATCCCTCCAGCTCAGCTCCTCTCCCCTGCTGGTTCCCTCTTCAGCTGCTGCGTCTCTCCCAACCTGTGTGAGCCCTTTCACCTCCCTGTTGGTTCCCTCTTCAGCTGCTGCGTCTCTCCCAACCTGTGTGAGCCCTTTCACCTCCCTTCCGTCCGATGGCAGTTCCCTGACATGTATTGCACAGAATCAATCCAGAGGAAGTTAGGTCTATCTTCCTGTCCGCCTAAATCCCAGTGGTATTAAAAGAATTTGAGAATTATAGGCTAAAATTGATAAGATTTATATGACAGTTCAATATGCCCAGCTTTCTCCAGATTGAACACGAAGTCAATCTGTCTTTGTCTATGTTTATCAGTCCAGATAAATGTATAAATACTCAGGCAGCATAATCCTATACATGTTTCCTCAGAAGTATGTCCCTCAGAGTTTAAAGTGATTTACTCCCTCATGACCATGCCGGAAATGGCAGCCTTTAAAGTTCAAAATGCTTAATGACTACTATCTCTAGTCCTCTTTGAACAACTATAAAGGATTATATGCATCCCAACTCCTCACCATATCCAGACCATGACTGCAGAAGTGGATGAAAAGGACAGCTGGGTATTATGACAGTAAATCCCAAGAAAGTGTGCAAAGGATTGGATTGTTAAGTATGTCTGGCAAAAAAGGCACAGTCTAAAAGAATACACTATATAACAAAATACTAATGCCTGGTGGGTAACACAGACGTTTAAAACGTATTATTAAATACATGCAAGGGCTTATGGATTTCAAAACAGTGTTAGAAACTGATATGAAAGCTAGGAGCTAAATAGAACCTTGAACCTAGGTTATGGGTGCTGCAATGAGTGTCTAGGCATTTTTTAAAAAAAAAACTAGAATACAAAGTTGAAAATGAATGAACTGCAACTAAAATATTATGTTGTTTATTCACATGGTCTAGTCCTTTCCCTGCCCACCCCCCTAATATTCTTAAGAGGGTCTCTTCTCCAGCCTTCAGAGAGTAGCTGGAAGTGGGGAGGCAGAAAAAGGTCCTCCTTCCCTTCCAGTCTGCATTTTTAATTTGAAATCTTAGGTGCAGCACTGTGCCCAGAGCTCAGAAGCTGCTTGCGCTAATGAAATTCCCTGTCGCAAAATGCACCTAGAACACTGGGAGTTTCGAACACTGTTTCCAAATGAGAGAGAAATACAGGAGGCATGCTACGACACCAGATTAGAGCAGGGAATGTTCTTATCTCAAAACAGTAAGGAAACAAAATTAAATTATCTTTTAGGGCAAGAAAGATGTCACATAGAGCTGAGAAGCCAAGGTACGTGGAGGAGGGAAACAGAATATTAGGAGTAATCGCAACATACAGTAACATGCCCTCATACAAGAAGAATCTAACGACATGAAATATAAAGAACCCAGTGCTACTTGGTCTGATTTAAGCTTGCTCTAAAATTAACAGATGCAAATCAAACTATCTAGATTAGGGGAAGCTGATGTGGTACCCTCTCAATGCTGCTGAACTGCAATTGCCCTGAGCACTGACCATGCTGGCTGGGATAGATGCAAGTTGCTCTCCAAAACAACAGGAGGGCACCACATTCATTGATCTAAACTTAATGCCACTGTTAAACCTTCCGACCCATTTAAGGAAAGACCAATACAATAAGCAATCAGCTTCTGGAAAGCACTAATGATCAACAGCACAGTGGAACAGAAGCCCTGGGAAAGCCAACTGGTGGCACATAGGCTGCAGCAAAACTTAATCCTGCCAGTTTGCAGCTCCCTACCTCAACCCAGGTTGGAGACAAGTGCCTACCTGAATCCCTGTCGTCTAACATGGGATGCTCATCATGTTGGAAGTGATGCGCACAACATACTGCTTTCAACTTGGCAAGTGTCCACAAAAAGCAATAAATGTGCTCCAGAGGTCTTGGGTCCTTTAATTTTGCACTGGGTGCCTGCCAGGTTAGAGGCAGCATCAGCAACTAACTGGGTGCAATTTCTAATCCAGCAAGTACCCCGAGGGCCTCCACAATGACACCTGTGAAGTCTAGATTGCACCCTTTCAGCAAAGTCAGCTAAGTGCCACTATCCTCAATGTAGTAAAACTGAGACAATCCACTAGGAAGCTTTTCTTTATTTATTTGCTGTTAAGGCTGCCTTCCCACAGCAGCTGAAAATAAAAACATAAATAAATAAATGATGCTAGAAATGAATGAGAGCCACACAAGAGTACAATGGAGCTAAATGAATGGCAAAAGAACATCCCAGTAGACTATGCTCAATAGATTGACTGGTTGGCTCCATTGTAAAAAATAATAGTACAATTGCTTCTTACATATTGGAACCAGTATCCAAAAAGAAAATTATTTACTTGAATTTACAACCCATTGATTTTGATGGAACTGATGTCCAAACCAGACTGCAGCCTAAATTTTTGGGTTGTCAATTAAAAATGCCAACAAAATGATTATTTAATTTGCAAGCACACAGCATTGTAAACATGACATTATTTCTAATGGCAGAGAAATCAACCATGTATTTCAGATCCAAATAAAAAAAGACATAAAATGCTCGCACTTGGAAGATAATATGTTAAGCACAGTGCAAATAAAATTATGAATACTTTTTTTTCAAATTCAAGTGTGTCCACACACATAATTCAAGTATACTTTAGCATCCTAAACACAAATCCAACTATAGCACATTCAAATAAATAGCACAATCCCATGCACATTTGCTCAGGAACAAACCCCACTAGGTTCACTGGGTGCTCTTGGATAAGTGTGCACAGGATTGCAGCCTAGTCTATCAAAGTGGAGATTTTAAGGATACTTAATTTTCTCCTAAAATCTACTTTAAGTGTCTATAGGTTTTTATTTTTAAAAAATAATTATCTTTATAACACAACTGCTTTGTTTAAGGACCATATGAATAGTTTCTAAATAAACTGCAAGCTATCACACACAGCAAAATACATGTTAACTATTACTACACTCATACCAAGTATTCTTACCACAAAAGAACAACATCCACAGACCTTCCAGCCTGGTCACAGAAGCTAACGCATGGTGTACCAGCAAGTTAGTAAGTTTGCCAGGACTTCAGTCACACTACAGAACATGCCGCTATGTCAGAGTTGGAGGCAAACACCCCAGTACAAATATGGCAACATAAACGCGCAATACATTTTCACTTTCGAATCCTGAGACTAAATACATCCGCCATGATCCAGAATTCTGGAAAGCTCCAATGACATTCAGCACTCTGCTTGTGTGGGAGGGGCCCTAATTCTCTACTATGGGATGGGGATTCCCCATCGTAAACAGGGATTTCCTCTGCACGTGTACAGGAATTCCCTGACTCACTGAAGAGAACAGGGTTGCCATTTATATATGCACAAGAAACACCGAATATGCACTAGGGTTTTTTCCCCTCCCGATTTTTGCTTCAGCAGCTCCACACCACACCAAAACACTTATGGAACGCCGCCCGATTTAAAAACCATTTTCAGATCAACACACACTTATTGAAGAAAATGCATACCTGTAGTATTTTTTAATTACCACTTGCAGGCCACATTTACCTGAATGTGTCAATTTTACAAAACAATAAGCAATTCATTTGGGGGGGGGGGGGATGCAAGAACACCAAACATTTAATACTCAGATATTATCATTCCACGGTTAACATACACACAGCCTGATATCTGTATGAAGACAGCCCTCCTCTAAGAACCAAAGGGTTGCTTTCAGCACAATTTCTAAACACATTTACTTGTAAATAACTCTTATTGACTTCAGTAGGACCGACTCCATCATAATAAGCATGTTTAGGACCGCAGCCTTTAAGAATCAAGGATGACACAAGTCATTTTCAGTGCATCACAAGTAATTTAAAATTCTATCCTGCAACTCTGTGCACAAAGAGTTAAATCTCTACAAAACACACTTCATCATACTGAGGGAAAGACAAAAATGTTATGAGCTTTTAATATTCACCCTAAATATAAAAATCAGGAAACTAATACCTTCTAGAATTTCCACTCTTCTACCGCCTATTTCATGGCCAAAAAAAAAAAGTGTGTAAGACAGGTTGGGGTTTGCTTTTCTGTAATTATTAATAAATTAAATGATCCGTTATTACCTTTTGAACTCTTTGCTTTCTCCTCTGAGGCCTTTTGTTTTCAGTTAGCACCTAAAGAAAGATATCAAATTGCAAAGTAAGCCTTTGTGAATAAAGCAAATATTTATTTTTAAGCATTCCCCCACCGCACCCGCCTTGTAACATTAGAAGACTTTAAAGCAGAACCATACGGGCTTCTCTCTCTCTCTCTCGCTGCAGAACTTAAGAAGGAACTGATGAGTAGACTTTAGGCGTTGAAGTCACCGGAGTCAAAACAAAAAGAAAACGGGGGGAAAGCGGGTTAGCGAGGAAGGAGGGGGAAAAATAGTAGTAACCTTCCCCCCCTTCAGAGTCGGGTTTAATTAGGCTCTGCATTCTTCACAGCAAAACCCACAAGGTAGCCATCTTGCTTCCTTCTGCTGAAGAACCTTCCACAGTACAGCACTACTTCACGCTGCTTTTTGAGTATTATTATCATGGTGTTTTTAAAAGGAACAGCAGCGGCGGCAGCAGCAAAAAGCAGCACAGCAAGCCCTGCCTGCCAACACTGGGGACGTGCTGGGCATGCCTCTCGAATATTATTACACACACACACACACACACACACACACACAGAGACAAAAAAAAAATCCACCACAAAAAAAAATATCAACCACCAGGCTCTAGAAAAGGACTAGCCAATAGCAAAGCGAGGCCAGGAGCTTCCAAAGCGCTTCTTCCCTTGCCTAGCCCTTCCCAAACAAAGGGTCTCCTATGTGGGGTTTTTACTCAGAGCAAGAGGACACAAGGGGCGGGCGCAAGCTGCGACATGGACTCCCTGCGACCGTGGATCCGGCCGAGGGGTGGGGTGGGGTAGAAATAGGGGTTGGAAAGCTGGAGGGTTGGGGTGGGGGGTAGGCGGAAGCGAGGTGTGTTCTTTATTTATATATATTTTTAAATGACTGGAAAAGCAAAGCCACCAAACGCCCCCCCCCCAACTCCTGGTTTGCCTGACTGATTGGTTTAAAGCTGAACGCGAAAGAGAAGACAGAGAGGAGAGATCCAGAGCAAGGGAGGAGGAGGAGGGATCAATTGAACTCCTGGGGTGGAGAGAGAGAGCCTGCGGACGCTGCGCACACACGCACTCACCAGGAAGGTATTGTGCATTTTGACTTTATAAGGCGAGGGCTACATATTAGTGCTATTTTGTTTTTTTTGGTTAAGAAGGAGGTTATGCGAGGACACCGACTCCGAGGCGGCTAATGCCTCGGCAACCCCCCTTGGCCACGCCTCGGCGGCAATTAATAGCTAATGATAAGGAAAGCGGAGAGAGACGAGGCTCTGGCTGTCATCCTCCACCTACTGCCCCTGAGAGAGAATATTGCTTCCTCTTGTATGCTCAGAAAGGTGCTAATTTCTTTATCCTTTCTTTAGCTTGTCTAAGGTTTGTTTGTTTGTTGAATCCCAAAAGACTGGGGAGGGGGGCAAGGTCATGGCACCATTCTGGCAGGGGTCTCCATTTTCTACTGATGTGTGTGTGTGCGTGCACACGCGTTCATATATATATGCACACATAGATATAGATAGATAGATAGAGACACACAAATGTGTGAGAAGTCAGTCCTTATTCACAACAGTAATCAGATTAAAGGACAGAGTAAGCTGTCTGCAAAAACAACAACAACCCACCAACCAACCTAGAGCTTGTAATCGAGTTACTGATGAGCAAATATTTCACATTAAATGAAAACTACACAGAGAGGGGGTGAGGAAGCTGTTTAACCAGCTCAAATGGCTTCGGGAGTTATGCCGCCTCCACTTTTACCTCCATTCAATCTTCTCTGTTCTGAAAATGCCACCTGTCATCGGATGGTACTGCTGCCCTGGAGTGACTAATCATGAGAGTCAAGGGGCTTTAGATTGTGTTCCAGAGAAGCTTATTGGAGGTTCCTCAATGTGAAGATCAGTTAAGGCAGACATGCTGCCCTCCATTACCAGCCCTCCTATGCAATGCTCAGCCTCAAGGGAGTGGGGGGGGGCACTTCATGTGAGAAATAATGAGGCTCTGTAGGCCAGGCCAGTTGGCTCACTGTGAGCAGGCTGCGCACCTGACCATACCCTCTCGGAATCCCCTCTGAATTTGCAAAGTCCCATGACAGATACACAGTGGGGTTTCTGAAAAGATGACTTGTAGTCGACAAAGTTCCTTGAAGGCAAAGAGTTTAAAAACCATCAATGTAAGCAAAACCCCTTGCTTGTATGGCTTGTATAGCACAGTGACTAAGAGACTACAAATCAGCCAGTTTTGCCTCCACAGGAAACTCACTAGGGTACACACCACAGCTTTAAAGTACATGGCTTCCCCCACAGAATCCTGGGAAAGGTTGCTATTTTAACAAATGACAGTTCCCAGGATTCTTTGGGGGAAGTCATGTGCTTTAAATGTATGGTGTGTACACAGGCTAAGTGGCCTTCCACAAGCCTCTCTCAGCAGTCTCAGCTCATCCATCTACAACATGGACAATAATAATAGTGATGTAACTTACAGGGCCACTGTAAAACAAGTGTGATGAAACTGTGGCTCCAACTCCCATCAACCAGCATCTTCAGTGGTCAGGGATGATGGGCGTTGGAGCCTGTGGCTCTCCAGATATCACTGGGCTACGAGGATCAGCTAAATGCTGCATGTGGAGTGCTCAAAACACTTGAAAGTACAATAGAGAATATAGAAGTACTATAGAACTCTCCCAGCTACTTTATGAACACATATCATCTAGCTCACTCAGTTCACAACAAATATCCATGTATTTATATTCTTCTTGTCCTAGATGCTTCAGGGCATGCTAAACTCACACTGACCTTTCCAAGCCTAGGCAGAGTACTCTGAGCAGCAAACACACACTGGCTACCAACTCCAGTTTAGTCATTAATTCATTGCATTTGTATCCCACCTTTTCAGCAAGGGGCCTAAGGTGGTGTACATGGTTCTCCATCTTCTCACTTAATCCCCACAACACCCCTGTGTGGTAAATTCAGCTGAGAGGCAATAACTAGTTCAAGGTCACCCAGTGAGCTTCATGACCAAGTGTTTCTCAAACTTGGGTCTCCAGCTGATGTTGGACTACTACTCCCATAATCCTTAGCTCATAGGAACAGTGGTCAGAGATGATGGGAGTTGTAGTCCAACAGCAGCTCAAGACCCAAGTTTGAGAAGCACTGCTCTAACCACTATACCACATGGGCTCTATTATTACAAGAGCGAAAGGGAAGCATATGCCATTTCCCATTCTTCAGAAATGAGTGATGACTTCCATCACACCTAGAAACAAAGATGTCACTTGTAGCATAGAAGGAGATTAGTTACCCCTAGATGCAAAGTGACTGCATCAACAGTCCAGTGTGGTTAAATACTGGTAAAAGGTCAATTTCATATATTTTCAATGCAGGCTTCTGGAGTAAGAATTGTAATTGCAATAGTACATGACTGCAAGGCAGTACGAACACATGATCTTTTGTACATGATGCAAGATTATCTTGCTCTTGGGAAAAGAGAAGTAGCAGGTGTCTTAAACCCAGGCTGCTTCTGAATCTGGGGTGGGAATTAGTGCATATTGGGAGTTACTTAAACTTCCCCCACCCCCCCAGAGAGCTACTTCACAAGCTATGTTTTTCTTAAAAAGAAACAAGCAAATGTGAAACGTATGTATACACTGACACACGCAACAATTGCGTAAGTTATCTTTTTGCATTTATGCACAGACTCAACAAAATTGCATCTAACAGAACATACAAGTGCATCTGAAAAACTTTCACCCATTTTCTGGCATTGCATCTACTAGTTGGCTTGTCAGATGAAAGATAATTAGGTAACAGTAGGAAGTCTTGAGGTTTAGACACACATAATTCAGTCTAAGTGTAGAGTATCAGCCAAGATTTCTCTGTCTATCTATGCTACATTCCAGGAGCTGATCATATCAGCATTGCAGAAAAGATACTCAATTTCTCACTTTCCATGTTGCAGCAGGAACGTATCTTTGAAGACTATTTTGCTTAGAATATTCTACCTCTGCTAAGATGATACAATATACTTCTCTGCCTGTTTGTCCATTGTACTGGCCAGACACAGAGTTGACTGATACAATTGTCTAAAATTCTCAAGATGAAAAGTACTTGTTGCCATACAAACTGAGAGCATTATGTTCAACATACAAATTGTGTGTGTGTGCGCGCACACACACACTAGAAGTGCCCAAGAAAATGAAACTGACAGCGAAAAAGAAGTTAAAGAATAGGGGGTAGCTCATTAAAAAAGCAGAGAGAAGACTTAAAGAAAAGGGTGAAGAAGCAAAGCTGCTATACAATGAGGAGGTCAGAAGAAATCAAAGGGAGGCATGTTTAGTCTGGGGAAAAGTTTGACAGAAGAGCTAGAATTCATCCTTTGCTTGAACTGGCCTCTGCTAAAACCCTTTTTGCTCCTTGCCTTAATCGCTTCCTGTCTTAGCTCCCACCATTCTTTTCTGGTGACCTTAGCAGATGTCTGCTTTGCTCAATAATTAAAAATACATAAGTACCCATAATATTGCAACTACAATGCTCCTGTGAAGAGGGAACTTGCTTATGTACTCAATTACAATACTGTGCCTGCTTTTGATCTTTGGATTAAAAACCCACCTGCCTTTACTGGTTTTTAGCCTTTCTTCATTCACATAGTTTTGGCAGGGATCCTCACCCAACTATCCAAAAGTATGTTATTTGCCAGCCTGAAAGGACATAATCTGGTCCTGAACCTACTACTTTGGCCCCAATACAGCCAGAGGGCCCAGTTCTCTCACTCAACTCCAGTGGGCTCAGCGTATGCTTCAAGGTGCTGTCTGAGGCCCATCTGCATTATACATTTAAATAAGTTTAATACTACTTTTGCTTCCCCCCAAAGAATCCTCCGAACTGCAGTTTGTTAAGGATGCTGAAAGTTGTTAGGAGATCCCCTGTTCTCCTCAGAAAGCTACAATTCTCAGAGTAGTTTAACAATCCATCTATCTTACAAGGGAACTTCAGCTCTGTGAGAGAACTAACAACTCTCAGCATGCTTAACAAACTACAGTTCCCAAGATTCTTTAGGAGAAGCTAAGGCTGTTTAAAATGGTGTGATACTGCTTTAAATGTCTAGTGCAGATGGGACCCAGCAGACACAGCTTCACTGCTCTCAGGGCAATGCTTCCCTTTAAAGCAGCAATGTAGGCCAAGCAACAGTGGAGAGCATGGAAGACTACTATGTCCACAAGCTGGCAGCACAGAGCCTCTGGCTGCATACACATCATAAATTTAAAACAACCCCTCTCCAACCACAAAAAATAATCCTTAAAACTGTAGTTTACCCCCTCACAGAGCTACAATTCCCAGCACCCTTAAACCACAGTTCCCAGAATTCTTGGAGGGGTGAATGTGCTTTAAATGTATGGTGTATGCAGCCTCATTCTCCAGATCTAATTTGTTTGGGGGATGTCCCCTCTCTCAGAGCTCAAAATTAGTGGGGCACCAGGCACATTTTGCGCCTAAAAATTCTCCATTTGCAAACACCTCAAAAGGTCTGTCTGCCATTATTTGCACTTGGCTGTTACTCAAGGATTATGGAAATATATGTGCCTTGATGCCTCAAAGTATACGTTACGGATAGACAATATGTTAAGGAGTTTAACAATAAAGAGTAGTGCAGGCTTCCTCAACCTCAGCCCTCCAGATGTTTTTGACCTACAACTCCCATGATCCCTAGCTAGCAGGACCAGTGGTCAGGGATGATGGGAATTGTAGTCTCAAAACATCTGGAGGGCCGAGGTTGAGGAAGCCTGGAGTAGTGTGTTTTGAAAACAGAAGTATGGTATCGATATTTTTATTGTATACATCAAATTAAACACGTAATAGCAATTTCTGTTTAAAATGTGGTATTAGCCATGTGTCACTTATGTGATTTGTGTACTAGTTCATACTCATCAAAATAATAAATAAAAAGTGTTGCCAACCCCCCACAAATGGAGACTAGATATTCTGTTTTGGCACCCACAACCCTGGCCCCAAGAGCCATTTGGCTCCTAGCATTTCTATCCCAGTTTCTAACACTGCCCTCCCTTCCTCCTCCACCAGATTAGCAGGAAAAAGGAGCCATCAAGCCTCTACACCATGGGGGCCCAGATCTGGCCTAATCACCTTCTAAATCCAGCCCACAAACAGTCCGGGAATCAGCATATTTTTACATGAGTAGAATGTGTGCTTTTATTTAAAATGCTTCTCTGGTTTATTTGTGGGGCATAGGAATTCGTTCATTTCCCCCCCCCCCTATAGTCTGGCCCCCCACAAGGTCTGAGGGACAGTGGACTGGTCCCCTGCTGAAAATGTTTGCTGACCCCTGCTCTACACAAACTCAACAGCAGCCCTGTGTTGCTTGCTTTCTCTCCAACCAGTTTTGCTTCAAAAGGTGTTTATCCCCCCCCCCCCAAGGGTTATCTGCCTAAATAATGTTATTGCCAAATAGGACAAGGAAGATAAACTGCTGGAACAGCTTGGCCACAAGATCAAAGCACAACGCTTTACAAGAACTTAGCTCCTCCACAGGCTAACTAAAATAATAAGCCAAGCTATTTAACATTCAGCAAGATACCCTGTAAGTGTGAGTGTAATGGAGCAGGACAGATTTAGGCTATTGTCTTATCCTTCAAATATAGCCATAGAAAGCAGGGGCTTTCAAAGTGGCCTTTGTTGATGACCACAGGCATGGCAGCTAATATACTGTACATGGTGCGGCCCTTCTCATCAGTGGTTCACCCTGTCCAGAGCTTTCCTCTTTGCCCTTACAACTCCAGAGGGTCAACTCCCCATCACTAGTTCTGCCGCACTGCTCACTTCTGCCCCTGCTGCTGTCAGCTTCTGCTCTTGTTGCTGCCATGCCCTTCCTGACTCTTTGCTCCACCTCTTTTCTTCCTGTTCGGTCCCTGTAACTTAGCAGCTACGCCAAACTACCCTTGAGGTTGCATCTGGGAAGCCATAGTTTGAAGGTGTCAAGTATTTTGCAGCATGGTCCTAGCAATTTCTACTTGCAAACCTACTTTTCTAAAGAAATGATCTAGTGCTACTATGTATACTATCTATTTAATATAAGACAAAATGAATACGGGGCAACATGGTGTAAAAGAGGAATATAACACGCACTATACCTAAATCAGCCCTTGCCTTGTTTTGGCTTTGTTCAACTGTATCAAGCAGAAAATGCTGGGCAATTATTGTTGTGTTTTGCAGCCTGTAAAAAGTACATTATCAATTCACTAAAAAGCGACGAAGAAATTTTCTTCCAGCTCAAGTTCAAAAGACTTACCCAAAATTGTAGGGTGCCATGTTTTCCCTAATTTGTCTGGAAAAGCATGCCATTTAATTCCCAGCCTTAGCACTGAACTTGATTCAACTGTCGACTGAGACTCTCTTGTGCTGCAAGCCAATGTAGTCTTGTCAACGGTTATCTGCCATAATTTTTGTTTGTGTTAGACACTAGATACCAGATGAGACCAGACTCAAACAAGGTAATGTTTATAGATCACAGAAACCATTTTGAGGAATCAGTATGTAATTTAGGATAGCAATGATGCTGCTCAAAAAAAAGTAGAGGTCACTATGTTTTCCCCTCTGGCACTTCAATTTTAAATATTTTTTTGGGAAGTTAAGTGTACTGATTCAACAGCCTGTTCACACATAATGCCTATTGTGAAGGAGCAAGCATCCTGGTACTCCACCCCCATTCCTGCTGCTGCTATGCAGCCAGAAATGAAGCTGTAGAATGGCTTTGCATTACATCCGAATGTGGACCTCTCCCCCCCCAAGCACACACTTTTTTCTAGGGATGGCTGCTCTTTTATCTTCTATATGTACCTTTGAAGTTAATGATGAGTTAAACCTTTGTCCCACATTATTGTCCGGCTTCTCTTAATGCTGCACAAGACTCACAAATTTGGTATTTTAATTGCACCTTTATGTGAGTCATGATAAGCATTCACAATCAGCAAGTCAGTATGCTGCTGCCAAACCTTATTCAATTATCCATGTTCTTGAATGTAAGGAGTAATTGATATTTCCCCCAGCTTTCTTCCACAGCATATTGAAAACTGAATTCTAACAACATGCACAATTAATGCAAAATATACTCCCAGGCTTATAGGGTCTTAAAGTGGATCCAGGATCCCTACATTGGCTGTTACATTGTTGTTGTTCTAAAACACCCTCCCCAACGTAAAGGAATATCCCCTGCTGAGAAGAAAACTTCCAAGGAATGCTATCTATCATCCAGTGGAGTCTGGCAGCATAAAGAAAGATAAGATATGCAATTCAAGGGAAGCAAACCATAATCTACTTCTAAATCATCATGAGCTGAGCGGAATAGCTTTAGAGCAACTGAAGCGCTTCTTTGCTGGCCTGTTGGCTTTCCTGTAGCTCCATCCTCTGGCTAAACCTGAGAGGCAACACACAGGCAAAATTCCTTGTTTGACACCAGAAGTTCACAACTCACTGCAGACTCAACAATTGATCTGCCACAGTAGCAAAATGGGTTTAACTCTTTCCATTTGAATATAGCTATTTTCACTGCTGTGCTACCAGAAGCATGTCCTACACTTCCTTGTAAGAAAAGGGATTAGAAACCACAGTTGAGGCTGTTTGCATTTGGAGAGATCAAAGCTTTAAAAATGCAGCAGTTCTATTCACAGGGGAAAATTCAGACCAAGGCAGCAAGAGGAGAAAAAATCATCCCTTAATTCCACTAGGATGTTGATGTCTCATGATCCCTCTGATCTCTAAGCCTGGCTGTGATTTTCTACCCGGAAATGTTACACACACAATGCCCACAAAGAAACAAACTCTATGCAATTACAGTGGAAATAGGAAAAAAACATCATGAAATTTACTGGTCATAAACACTGTATTTCTGAATGAACTCTGTTATTAGAACTGCAAAAATCTAACAAGTATGTATCTACCTTCAGCACTACTTAGAACTTAGTATTAAACCAGTCACTTAAAAAAAAAATCACAATGCTTGAGGTTTCCTTTTATATATGTATAAAAAATGGAGATGCACTAACATGGAAAAAAAGATGCCCAAAGTCATACTTGTTTTCTGGACCTCTGGTTCCCATGCATATGTATGGTGTTTATATAAAAATAAGTTCCACTGGATTGATTTCAGTGGGCATAAATGCACTTAACACAATCCTGGACTGAGGTCTGCATCTTTAACAGTGCCAGGATTTAGTAACATTTAAACTAAGTTACATAGTAATTTTTATTTTGTATTTAATGACTTTATGGTGCCCTTCAGATGTCATTGGTCTATAATTCCCATAATTTATTGCCCACTGGCCATGCTGGCTGGGAACGATGGGAGGTGAAGCCCAAATACAGCTGGAGAGCACCAGGCTGAATAAGGCTGCGTCATGCACATTTAATGAATCGTCTTTTTCCTTACCTCTGATGGTACAAAGGGCAGCATTAAGGGCGGCAGTGGCAGTGGAGGCTTCTTCAGTTCTTCACATTTTCTCTTTTTACATATCCTGTGACTAGTTTTGCGTTTCCTGCAACAGCTGCATTCTTCACAGTTAGTTTTCCGCAAACATGGCTCGCACACCCCACATCGCCTTCGCTTCTTCTTTTCTAGCACAGGTTGCAAAGATGCAAGCGAGACAGGAAGGCTGCCAGTTGGGTTCCCACAGGAGGCAGTCTCTGAAACTGCAACTAGATTAGCACCACATTTCCCGATGTCCTGAACAGAGTTCGCAACAGTCCCACCACTTTCCAACTGCAACAATGGATCCTGAGGTTCTGGAATGGATTCATCTAGCACAACTGTCTTGGTATCTGTATCCTCTGCAGCAGCTGATGGAGGCCCTGAATTAGCATCTTCAGACAAGTTTGGAAAACTTCCCTTAAATGTGTCGCTGCTTACCAGAACGGAATCTGCTGTACTTTCTAGGTTGAGGGGTGCAACAGGCACAGCACCTGAATCTAAAGTGAAAGTTTCTACGGCGATCTTTTCAAGTGTCTGCTCAAGATCTCCCAATATAAAACTAGTCAAAGAGGTATTAGAAACCTGTTCACATGTCAACGTGCCATTTGTTTGGTCACATTCTAAATAAAGTTGTCTGGAGTTGAAATAAGAATCAAGTGCTTTACTGCTTAGCTCCAGTTCCAAGTCCTTTGGTAAATGAGATTCCACACAAAGGCCTGGATCTTTTAAACAGCCTTCTGATTCAGAGATGCAGCATGAGGCAGGTTCTACTTCTTGAATGGTGGGCTCAGGATCCTGATTGAGCTGAGACCCTTGTAACAGACATGGGTCATCTAAATGCAATTTTGAGATCAATTCTGAGGTAATCAAAATGGCAGCATCAGGATCACCATCAGTTAGCACCAAATCACAGGTAGTTTTGGAGTGAGCGTCTGTGGAAAACTCTGACCTTTCTACAAGTTCCTTTGAGTTTGTTTCCGAGGAAAGGCTTAATGTGGAATCGGAATGTGAACAGGTATACTGTTTGGGAGCAGGAGACACATCCAAACAACTCTCAGAATGTGATTTCACAAATGCTCCCGAGTCATTCTCTTCATGTACCTTTATAGGAATAGCAGAGTCAAGATGAAAATGTGCAGGGGCAAGTTGAGTGAAATTTTCTTCACAGGTACTCGGAGGCAAATATTTCAGATCCTGCTCTGTGGGCACAAGTTCTGTACACTGGCATGCCTCCTTTAATATCTCTGGATTTTGGGTACCTGGTACATCACCATTAGAAGCAGAAATACCTTCTTCAGAAGGTGTCTCTCCCTTTTTGGCTTGACTATCACATTCAGAGCAGTGGCCTCCTTCTGGATCACACAGATTCTCCTCCTCTTTCTCCTCCTTGGGAGAAGATAATGCACCAACCTGGTTTAAATCCCTTCCAGCCTCTTCTGCTTCTTTCCTTTCTAATACACAGGAGGTTCTTGATTCAGGCTTCTCTCTTCTCCCCACACTTTTCTCTGGGCCAGCTTTAGTTGCTCGCATGATTGTTGGCGTCTGGAACAGTCTATGGGGAAACGGTTTCCTGCGGAGAGTCATGGTAAAGCCATTGTAGCTCAAAGGAGGCTGGTTACGCAACAGAACATTATCAGTTAACCCCAGATCCATCCAAGGTGTTCCAGACAAGGCTTTGGTGACGCTGCTCCTGAGAAATCGGCATGTTGCATTCAGAGGTGGTTTCTCTTCCTGTGTTTTTTTCTTGCCGTCATTCTTTTCTTCCAGGTGCTTTTTGCAGTTTGCTGAGCTTTCTGCTTTTGGAGAAGTTTTCTTGGCATCTTTTGTTACTTGGCAAGATTTCTTTTTGACTGGGCTTGATTTCTTTTTGCTTATTTCTTCCTTTTTAACTGATCGTGAAGATCTGGCATCACGAGCCATCTCTGTCAAGCAGCAGATGTGCAACTAGGAGTGGACTTAAAGATCATGGAGTCTTGCAAATGTTCTTCGGTTCAGCAGAAGCCGGCATATTCACCTGCGTTGTCCTTGTAGAGCACAGAGCTGAAATAGAAGATAGGAGTTTAAGATTATTATGGATGATTATAATATTTACGTTGTTGTTGTTGTTGTTGTTGTTGTTGTTACACAGAACCCTGAAAAGCACTATCTTTGCATTATTTCTCTGCATTCTTACAGATTTGGAAGAGGGAAGTTGAGTGACATATCTTGCCTAATGCTGCCTAGAGAGTTCATGGCACAGAAAATACGTTAGCCAGGGGCTTCCTGGTCCAGAGCTCAGTCTGTTTGGCCACTATGCTAGTGTCTAAAAGTCACTAACAAGTTAGCATTGTGAGTGGAAAGGGCCGTAACTCAGTGGTAGAGCACATGTTATTGTTATGTAATCAAAAAGTGCCAGCTTCAATCCTTGGCATTTCCAGGTATTTCTGGAAAGATTCCTGTCCAAAACCCTGGACCTCTTCTGCTAGTCTGTGGACAATATAGAATTAGATGATACAAGGCAGCACCTTATGTTTAAACAAGTTTATTCAAATGCTCAACTAAAACACAGTACACTTGTAAAACAGTTGCCACATTCTGTGTAATATTCCAAAACTGCTTAGAACATTTTGAGTTGTCCTTGAACTTTGATCCTGTTTGCATTCGGTATTATATTGATTTCCTCATACTACCAATACTAATTTATTCAAAATAGCCACATCCAAAATTTGACAGACTAGTCCCTCAGTCTGGGGATCTACAGTAAGCTTGCAATTAATATGCAGGTTACGCTCTAGAGATTGTGCCTAAAGCCAAAATATTGCATACTCAAAATACATTGGGTATAATGATGGATGGGCTTGGCACAGCTTTTTCCTGGATTCCCACCCCCTTTTATTTATTTTTAAATTGCCATGCATGTAAAGCTGAATGTGTACAAGTTAAATGTGTGTTAAGTTGCTGGCTCACTGTATTTCATTTCCCAAATGTGTCTCTTTGATCTTAGCAACTTTTCCTTTTGGCATGGTCATTACATTTTCAGATCTAAAACAAGTTTGAGCTTATGCATGTTTACTCATAAGTAAATGCCACTTGAACTCAGTGGAATTGCTAGCAACTAAGCATGCAAAGGATTGTAGACCTAAAATCTTGTTCATTCCCCCAGGATTTGTTTCCAGAACTTATTAACTTCCCTGCGACCTCACCAACAGTGATAAAAATCCCTGCACACTTTGAAGAAAGCTAGGGATATCCCTGTTGTATTTTAGGCATGCTCTTTTGTTTGGTTTTGTTTAAACCCACTCTAAAATATGTGCTGCAGTGATTTATTGTGATGGGAAGCAAGACTCGGAGGAGTTTGGAAAAGTATGAGTACATTTAAATAATGCCAACAAGAAAGATTAAAGGGAGGAGGGAGAAATGTAATGTATCGTCCTATCCAACTAAGTTAAATGTATTCTAGAGTCCAACAGTGCAATCCTATGAAAACTTATCAGAAAGTCTCATATCCTCAGTGAAACTTGCTTCTGAGTAGACATATATGGGAGTGCATTGTAAATCCAACTTATCTGAACAGGATGACTGGGTATACAGGTTACAACTACCACATAGTCACATCTACCCATTGATTTGTGTGCTAACAATTCATCTGGTGTTGAGCTTTTGATGGCTCACCATGCATAGCCAATGACATTAAATACCATTACAAGCCTCTTGTGCAGCAACATTTGCATTAATAAAAATCACTCCATGTGAGGAGCTGCCACATCAAGAGTCCTCATTTGAGAGTAATTTATAGTAGCTGCAATGTGGTAATCATTATGCTTGCTCCAACCATCGGGTGTGCAGAGCTTCTTTTGGATGTGCCAAGGAATTGCACATTTCCCCTTATTTTTCATATTGCTTTCTGCAAGACACTTTTTCTTGCACAGTTCTCTCTTCAGTAGCTGAACCCTTCCACGTGGAATTCACAAACGCTCATCCCATGCCTTCAAATACGATGTACAGACATATATATGCAGCAACTTTATGTTGAACAAAACCGTTCCATTTCCACCTAAAGATGTTGAGCACAAGAATCCAGCTGTAGCTGACTCCGAAAGAAACAAATATAAAGGATACATAGCACAATCTTACGTAGGAAGGGAAGTCCCACTGAGTTTAATGGAGTTTAAAGCTGTCAAATGCAGCTTTTCCAGACTGAGCAGGATGAAGAAGAGGTAGAATTGCTATGTAGCCAGTAGGTGCTATAGATTCACAAATGCCCCCATCACTAATATACAGTATTTGTCACCTAAAATACTATTCTTAAAAGCCCTATTAATCATCCATATTTGAACAAGGTACTCATTAGATTTACTCAAAAGCATTGCAATCAGTGCTGTGAACTGTTGAGGACTGACACCGTTTTTGATAGCTTTCCCAACTTGAACACATCTTCTGCAATTGCTTTGTGTCGTTATGACAATTATTCTTGCAGCTTACTAATATAGGAAACTGTCTTATACTGCGTCAGACCATCGGTCCATCTAACTCAACATTGTCTACAATGACCGGCTGTGGTTCTACAATATTTCAGGCAGCAGACATTCTCAGCTGTACCTGGAGATGCCAGGGACTTAATCTGGGTTCTTCTGCATATAAAAAAGATGCTCCAACAATAAGCTATGGCCCTTCCTCATGGTCTTGCAATGACCACTTTCAAACAGTACAATTTACAGGATCACAATCCATTGCAGCTTGACACAAATATTACAGAAGTATGATGAAGACGAAGACCACTTCCACAACCCTCCATGCTGCATATGTGCTTTTGGCTCAGCCTCAGACACATCGCCCATGCATTCCAGTGCCAAAATTCAGAAGCCCTTCAAGTGTCGAGAAATTGTGGCAGTCCAAAGAACAAGAGAACCAGAACACTGGTCTGCAATATGACAAAATTTAACAAGAATTTAATGCTGCAAACATTTATTTAATTAAGTATTAATTAAATTGTATTCCTCCCCCTTAAATAGAAGAGCACTTGAACAATGAAGCAAGACACAAGGGGGTTGAGAAATCCCCTTCCTGTAAGAATATTGGTCAGGAACTGCAAAGATAAGAAATCTCCAGCTCCAAGTCTACTGAAGTAGGAAGCAAGCTTTTGTCCCCTTCCAACAAATGGATAACTCTTTCTCATATGTTGCCTTTTTGTACGTATTTCATATGCACACCCAGAATGATTTCCAGTTGTATACAGCATTAAGGTGGCTAGGAATTTAATGTAATACTTCCCAGAGTTTGGTGGAGGCAGTATAATCCTGGCAAATGCTTATCTCATCAAGATCAAAACTAGAATCCTCCCTATTCTTGAGGAACTTTCTCGTAAGTGTAATATTTCAATGCTGCTTAGCAACTGTTTATAGGTAGGCATGCATAATCCGGAATATCCAGATATGAAAACATTTATTGCTCCTTCCTTGCGCCAGACTAACTGCTTTGAGCAATGCACCTACACTGTCCTATGCCCTGACCTCAATACGCTGGCCCCAATTCAGTGTATCATAGATTCAGCGGAATCTTATGCATGCATACTGAGATGCTATCAAGGATGCTGCTCTACCCCAGATTCTGTGGGGATGGATGTGTTGTTTAAGTAGCCATACATAGTCTTACAGTAAAATCCTAAGCATGTGTGTACTTTGAAGTCCCATGGGCATTAACAATGCAATCCTCATGTCTACTCAGAAGAAAGTTCAACTGAATTCAATGGGACTTGCTCCCAGGTAAATGAGGTTAGGACTGCAGCTTTAGTCTCTAATAAGAGTACTTAGGCAGTGCGATCTCACACGTGTTTATACATAAGTAAATCCCACTGTGTTCAACTGAGTTGAAAGTGTATATGTATTAGATTCCTAGATGCAGAACTTCTAACATAATTGTGGAGAAGTCAAGAGTTTCCCAAGTCTGACCAGGAAAGGGTTAAGCTACTGCCAAGAGAAGATGCCACTGATAGTAACTATCAGAGGCACAGGGCTATGCTTAAGCCAAAGTCACATGACCAATTGCCTAAGAAAAGGACAGGCTAGGCTTAAGAGAGGGGGAATTTTTTTTAGAAAGAGAGTTGTATTTGGAGTTGGGGGAGGGGGGAAATAGAAAAGGAGAGTAAAAGAGAACAGAGCTTCCTATGGGGCTTAAGGAGAAAGGCATCATATATTCCCCAAATGTAGCTAACCAAATTAAAAACAACACTGACTTTGAAAGGAGGGGAAAAGTATCAGGCAGTGAATTGCAGAAATTGTAATGTTATGCACAACCTGTGCAAGTTGTCACTTCACACTCTGTCATTTCCTCAGCACATACAGGCTTCACTATCTGGTACCAGAGGTATGAACTAGCCTTAAAAAATGAGTTGGGGAGGGAGGGGAAGTGGGCAGCCAGGATATTAGTTTGCTAACCGTGCAATCCTCTGCATTCTTGCCCAGAAGTAACTCTGGATTACCAAGGCTGAGTGGGATTGGGGGGGGGGGTTAGGGGAAGGGTAGTACCTCTGGTGGGGGGAACATGTCATGGTCCTCCTGGGGTAGTTTGTCTACCTTTGGTCCCCACCCTGCACTCACCCGTGGCTCCTAGAAGCTGTCAGCGTGTGACAGCACCCATACCCCCGGAAACGGCTTTGACTGGCCAGCTAAGCCAGGTAAGGGTAGGCAACAGATCATTCAGTGAGTCCGGAACTTTCCCTGCATGCGAAGACAGCCTCTGGTGAATTGAGCGGATGAGACCCATAGTGGGACCAGTGGTCAAGAAGGCAGTTTCTGCACATGTTGTAGAGGAAGGTGAGGAGCAGATGGGGCTTGTCAACCTGGAAAGGTAGCCCAAATTCTGACCATAAACCTTGCAGGATATCTTCGTGAGATCAAAATGGTAAGGAGTAAACCCTACACAAATACAGAGTACAGTGGTAC